CCACTTATGCTTTTAATTTCAATCTTTACTATAATCTTGTATAGATCTTTGTTACTCTTTCACCTAAAAAATACTGAATGGTTTTTAATGAAACTTAACAGTAATATAGCTCATATACGATAATTACTTAAATATAATAATTTATGTAGTTATTAGCCAATATATAACAATAAGTGTCACATAAGACGGACAAAATCTACCATCTGCGAGCCATTTTGGCCTGCACTGCAAAAACAATAAAAGTTACATGAATGTAATGTAGAGTGAAAATGTATCTCTTTAATAGTTCTAAAAAAAGTCCGTGACACCATATATCTATTTTTAATGTGTAAGTCATTACCGCTAAAATAGTGAATCAAAACTAAAATATTATTTGATATGTATTTCCAAAATGCACATTTTGTATTAACAAATCATCTTTTATCAAAACAAATACTTTTATCGCTTTTGATATTTAAAGACGATAAACTTTGTTTTTTACAGTATGTCATTTCGACAAATATTTAAAAAGTTACAACGATGACAAAGTGATAGCGCGGTGTACTATGTAAAAGAAAAAAAAATGGGCTATTCGCAGTATCTGCTCCTATACGAAGCACTAACAATAAAACTGTGATACCTTATTAAATGATGAGAAATATATGTATTATCATAATAGGTATTTATGATTATTGAACTTTAATGAAAAATTCAGAATTTTACTGTTTTTCATTTTTTTAACGATATTCCTATATGTTACAAAAAAGGTTTACTTAATATAATGACAAATAACCCATTTTCGCTAGTAAGTACATACTTATTGGAATCCCTGTATTTATTAATCAGCTCGCGATAATATTGTTTTTGTAATAATTCTGCAAAATTCAAAGTAAATAATGTAGATTTTTATAGGTAAATCACCCCTTTCATCACCCTACGCCTATAAGTATTGCGATGTTGTAGCTAAGAACCAAGTTCCCATCTACTTCTATATGGGAATTCATTATATTCGATTTAGCTATTAGGGCACGGAAGCGCAACAAACAAAATATCTTTCACATCTATAATATTATATTATACTTACTAGTGATCCACCCGGGCATTGTACGGGCGAAATTTATTTTATCAGGATAAAATATAGCCTATGTCACTCGGACACAATGTATTTAAATAAAGTAAAATGTAATAATAAATAATGTTACCTACCTACCTTATGATGAATTAATATTTGAAACCGGTTCAGTAGTTTGACAGATTATTTGTTACAAACATACGAATCTTGCCTCTTTATAATATTAGTATAGATAGTTAGGATAAGATAAGTATTTAATTGATGAAAAAGATTTAAAAATAAAGTAAGTAATAGGTTTATTTGATTATATTTGTAAAAGTTACTTAGCATTTGTGCTTAACAGTGATACGTTATTCGGTATTTTTTTAAACAAAAAAAAAATTTGGAAAATAATTGCCATGATTGCCCTACTGGGAGTACTCTTCATTTGAGCTTTACACTACCAATAAAAAAGGGTCGGTCACAAAGTCTTTGACCTGTTATAGGTGAACGCTTTAAGAAAACTACAAAGAGAACTATAAATTGATAATAAATGAGATTGCTATGGTGCTCTACCTAACGTTATGAAAATTTTATTATGCGCCTTTAGTTTAATCAAATATTATAAACTTTGCTTTGGTGATTGCATAATTATTTAATTTAGTGATCTAAGACAGTTGCCACCATTGTCCAAAACAACAAACGGGAATTACTGCTTTCTTCAACCTGCGACATAAACGTCATGGATTGGTATTGTATATAGGGTGATTAAAAACATTTGAAGTTAACTTCTGGCATCTACATATTGGGTTTCTGTGAATTATGTAGGTATATCAAATTATGAGACTAGAGACTGACACTGCATTTGTGTATATCACAATCTTAGACGTCCGGCATTGACATGACAATGCAGCCACTGCCAATTTTAAATAGTCGACGAATAAAAGTAAATGAATTTTATATTTACTGCTAAACTATTAAAAAAAACATAAACAAAAGATGACTTTTTGAGTAAGTTCTAGTTTACTATAAAATTTACATACATTAGAGATATTTATGTAAGGACTTGATTTAACTTCACACATTTTTGCGAAAATTGAGGCCCATCTGTAGCCTTGTACCCCGCTGGTAAAGTCTCTATATGTGTCTTAATAAATCAATCTTTTAGACCGACGCAAGGTACTTAATAATTCCCGCGATATTAATTCCCTTACCGAAGTAACAAGACTACGGTATATACCGTCTTAAAATACTAACTAAAAAGTGTGAAATAAAAAAGGTAAATTTAAAAAATCAAAAAACCCGACTGCTTAATTATACTTCAAATAAAAACTGAAAAGAAAAAAACAAGTCCAGTAGTCTATAATTCTGTTAATAAGGAACAAAGCTACTTTAACAGTCGGGACCCACTGTTGAAAAATATTATGTATTCTTGAATATCTAATGGGTCCCGACTGTTAAAGTAGCTTTGTTCCTTATTAACAGAATTATAGACTACTGGACTTGTTTTTTTCTTTTCAGTTTTTATTTGAAGTATAATTAAGCAGTCGGGTTTTTTGATTTTTTAAATTTACCTTTTTTTTCTAGGGCAGCCGCTATTGGCAACTTGGCAAAAGTGCTCCGATTATAAGTATAGTATTTTAATTTAATGTAAAACTTTGCATCATACTATAATTAGAAAAATAGTGTAATTAAAGGTTAAAACTACCAAATAAACTATATATTTATACCAAAATAAAACTAGGTAATGTTAAAAAATCGACCCCAAATGGCTGCGCTCACAGAGGCTGGCGCCATTTCCCTGTTGAATGGCAAGGCTCAACCTTTGTCCGAAATGAGCGCCAGCCCTTGGAAACCCTGATCGTCGATCGATACGTCGATCAGGCGTGCGGAAATATCCTTGAACAGCTGACGGACTTCCGCACCCCAAGGCCCCAAGGTCTCCACGGCAAAAGGCGCAAATATATACGGCTCTCCCAAGGCCGCATATTTACGCCTTTTATTGGTTTCGGCTGTCGCCGCAGTTACGCCGGCTTTGCGAGTGGAAGCTCTTACGTGGGATGGGGCAACAGAGTCCACGCATGCGGCATCCCACACGACACGAGTGACCGCCTGTTTTTCCACGGGATGAACGTCATACCATCGGGCCCCTTACCATCGTCCCGAGCGATGCCAATAAGTTCAAGCACTGCTGGCACCCCGGAAGAGGCAGGGGCGCGACGGATGACGTCATTTAAGGCGGCATGGTGCGGAATTCGTCCTGCACTGCGACAACATGCTAAACCGTGATGACCTAGAGGATCGACGTCTACCCCACAACGACAGCGATGGGGTTCGTTCGTCCGGGCCCCTAGCCGTAAGCTCACCGCCAAACTAAATGTAGTCCTCTCCAAAAGGGTACCTATAACCTATCTATAATGTGGATGAAGTCATGAGCGGAAGTTAATCCACTAATTCTGATTATACTATGTTTCTTTATTATAAGTCTCTCTTTTTCATTCTGCAAAGTGCTTGAAAAAACACACTGTAGTAGAGTCAAATAGACAACATCTAAAAAATAATTAATTACATAAAATAATATTATATCAATTAAGTATTAAACAAATTTTTCGAACTAATGAAAGTGACACACTACTTGCAATAAAAGCAGTTTCGCACTTCGCACATTATTGCAATCAAAGAAGAGATAAGTATCCTTAGTTAACAATCCAATCAAAAAATCTACATACAAAAAAAACTTGGGTGTTTTCGCTGGTTAAAACCTCCACGCACTGATTGATCTGATAAGTACTTTCAGAGATGAAAGGAACTCTTCAATTACAAAATTCGTCTTCAAAAAATCAAACCACTAAAAAGTAAGAAATATTGTGTCGATTCTGACATGATTATCTAAACTTAAACTTAAACAACGGTGGTGTTAATTCTGGCATGATTGTCTAAACTTAAAGCTAAATATAACATCAGTCTCTCCTTTTCATTCTGTATAGATCAAGCCAAGGATACACTATTGTCATATTTAAGTTTAGGTTTAGGCCGTATGCAGAAAGAAAGCCGAAAGCCGATCAAGCAACAAATGTGTATTTAAAAATGCGAAAAAAGCTATACATCCTATAAATAGAGAAAGGAAACGTTTCGGAGAATACCATCATTTATTTGTAAAAAAAATTAAATTTGATGAATAAAGATTTTATACATATACAAGAATGATTCAAGAAACATTTTATTACATTTTGGATTTAGTGAAAAACCGTTTGATGAAAAATTGGTGCAATTGGCATAAACAACCAATCCTTCCAGAAGAAAGACTTGTTGTCACCATTCGGTAAGTACGAAACAAATAATTTTAGCGCTTAGTTAATAAAAGATAAAGTTATTAGATTTATAAAAAGATTATAACTTAGATGGATTTAATCTAAAGATAATAATTCAAATACAAATTATTTATTATTCGGACCAGCGCGTGTCGGCGCTTATCGGCGCCGACCGGCGCCGGTCCATAGAAAAAAGATCAGCGCCAATAGGCGCCGATCGGCTTTCGGCTTTCTTTCTGTATACGGCCTTAGAGAATCATGCCAGAATCGACACCAGTGTATCCTTGTCATTCTTTAACAGGAGAGACTGGTGTTAAATTCATTTTTAAGTTTAGCGAATTCTGGCAAAAACGACACTATTTTTTTTTAAATTATGTTATCAAAGTAAACTATTAGTTATAAAAGAAGATGTTTCAACAATCAAGTAATTCTAAATAACTTTGTGGTTGTTTTTATATTTTTTAAGCACATAACTGCTAGATGTTTAAATCTAAAGCTTTTTTTCTTTGCTATCAATAAATTTGTGGTTTTTACCAAAACAGACAAAATCTAATGTTTTCCTTTTGTGATAATTTGATTTACTGAATCGATACAATGCTATAGAAAGATTTAAATCGGTTTATTGATTACAAATCCGCATCCCTATTGTCAATGTCAAAAAATTTGCATTGCTTTTGCTTTTGCATTTCTCTGATCTCTCTCGCACGCACCTTTTTCTATCCTAAAACTCAAAATAAAACTTTTGATCTTATTAATACATTTGAAGCATTTATTTTTAGTTAATTTAATTTATCGGTTGCGTTTATTAAAAGCAAACATGGTCACTGAACCATGTTAGGAGATATCCAACTGACTAAACGCTTAATTGTTATCGCTTTGGTTCTCGCTATTATTTACATTTTGAAGGAATACGTATTCGTTTATCCAATATGAGTCAACAGAGAGTTGCTTATTTCTACAACGCCGACGTTGGTAACTTCCATTATGGACCTGGACATCCTATGAAACCGCACAGACTGGCAGTGACTCATAGTTTGGTCCTAAATTATGGACTTCATAAGAAGATGCAGATTTACAAGCCCTATAGAGCTAGCGCTCACGACATGTGCCGATTTCATAGCGAAGACTACATTGAATTTTTACAGAATGTAACACCTCAAAACATACAGAGTAAGTGAGCTCTCTAGTATAGGAAGTTTCAGCTAATTCCTTCAGACAAGGTTTTGTTAAGTTCTCTAACCTTAGTGCGTTAGATAATATGAGAACATTATTATCTAAAATAGAGCAAATCATCCTTAGGCCCAAGCAAGAATTTTTACAGCTGTGTAATGCTATTGTCATCATCAGATTTTGTATGGAAGGAGCTAATTCATTCTTAAGTCCGGTAGGGGCGCTGCTTACTTTTCATATTAACTTTAATGGTGTAATATGATTATGGAGCTGCCCAAATTCATGCTGGCGCCTCTTTAAATAATTGATTAGGTCTATTGTTGGCTTAACTGTACATCTAGGGCCCAAGCGGTAATACTTCAGACTAGGTTAGTGTTGTGACCATAACACGCGAGCAATGTGGGCAGGCTGTGACAGCGGCCGGCAAAGCTCCAGAAAAAAACTATTATATGAGACCTTTTCTACAAAATAAATAATTCAAGTATCACCTTTTGGGCCCTGGAAGTATAGTTTTAGCCCATTGTTTTTTGTTATCATTATTGTGTAAATTTTCAGGCTACTCCAAAGACCTTCTGCATTACAATGTTGGTGACGACTGCCCAGTTTTCGAGGGTCTATTTGACTTCTGTTCCATGTATACAGGAGCTTCTTTAGAGGGTGCAATGAAACTGAATAATAATGCATGTGATATCGCTATAAACTGGTCAGGTGGATTGCATCATGCTAAGAAGTTTGAGCCTTCTGGTTAGTTTGAATAAAGTATATATATTTTATAATCTGACTATAATAAGTTCAGAAATGAAAATATGTTTTCCAATTTGTTGATTTGATAGAAACACACATATAACAGCAGAAATGTCTATTTTTACACTTGAAGTAGTAAATAAACTACAGTAAAAGTTACATGTAGTCGCAAGTTTTTGGTTTCTAGTGTTTAAAAGAAATATTGCAAGAGTTTTTTGTGGATTATTTTATTTTTATTTTAAGCATTAAAACATTAGGTTTTGTACACTAGGTGTTGGAAGAAAATTTCACTGGATAGAATTCTACTTGGTATGGTATATGCTGACATACAGATAGCAGAAGTAGTACAGTCAATCTGTCGAAAAAAATATCATTTGAGTGAAAAAAATACCTAAAGGGTAAGCCTTGTTTTTTCTGTTGCCAAATGACGTCAGTAAGCCACCTTGGCGATGGGCATGTTCAACTCGTAGGCGTTTTTTGAAAAACTCAAAAAAACCGTCAAAAATTTTTTGAAACATATTTTTCTTGTTTTGTATGCATTTTAGAAACTTTTTTTTCGACCATAATTGTAGAGGGCGTGGCGTGCTACAATTTATGTCATTGTTGCAATCTCGTACAACAAAAAATGCGCATTGTAGGTGGCGCTAAAGTCTCAAAAAAGTGTTTTTTCACTTATTCACCCTGAAAATATCATTTTAATGGAAAACTTTAAATGGCAAAGTTGTTTCGTACATAATTACCAACAACTTTTGTCTAAACAATTTTTTTATATTACTTACCGTTTTCAAGTTATAAACTGCGTAGGTATGAAAAATCCAATAGAGCGGTTTTGGGCAGTTCACGTACATATTTGCAGTGCACATTTCAATGTACGTTTTTACTAGTTTTTTTTCAATCATGAAAAAAAATAAAAATAAAACTATTTTTTTTTCATTTTTTTTTGTTTTTCAATCATGAAAAAAAATAAAAAATAGTAAAACGTACATTGAAAAGTGCACTGCAAATGTGTACGTGCACTGCCCAAAACCGCTCTATTGGATTTTTCATACCTGCGCAATTTATAACTTGAAAACGGTAAGTAATACAAAAAAAATGTTTATACAAAAGTTGTTGGTAATTATGTACGAAACAACTTTGCCATTTAAAGTTTTCCATTAAAATGATATTTTCAGGGAGAAAAAGTGAAAAAACCCTTTTTTTGAGACTTTAGCGCCACCTACAATGCGCATTTTTTGTTGTACGAGATTGCAACAATGACATAAATTGTAGTACTCAACACCCTCTACAATTATGGTCAAAAAAAAGTTTCTAAAATGCATACAAAACAAGAAAAATATGTTTCAAAAAATTTTTGACGGTTTTTTTGAAATTTTCAAAAAACGCCTACGAGTTGAACATGCCCATCGCCAAGGTGGCTTACTGACGTCATTTGGCAACAGAAAAAACAAGACTTACCCTTTAGGTTTTTTTTCACCACTCAACCTACAGATTGACTGTACTAAAGATGAGAATTTGAATCTTGTATGAAACCTAGATATAGTGGATTTATCCTAGTAAAATTTTCTTTTATTTTGTGTTGTTATAAGTAAATATAGAAAAATCCTCGATCCTCTTCATTATTTTAAAAACATTAATTTCTTTTTATAATTACTGGAATTTGAACAATCAACCTCAAAAGGCTATAATAATTGCAGTATGTTTACTGTATGGATACAGCTCTTATTGCTATTAAATAAAGGAGATGTTAACATGATGTAGTGGCATAGCAAAGAAAAACTTCTGTTATTAAATTTATTGACTCATAACTCATTTATCTATAGTTCATCATTTCAACATTTTAGGGTTTTGTTACGTCAATGATATTGTAATAGCAATATTGGAGCTATTGAAGTACCATCCTCGGGTGTTGTACATAGACATTGACGTCCATCATGGTGATGGAGTACAAGAGGCCTTCTATCTGACCGACAGAGTGATGACGGTCAGTTTCCACAAGTACGGAAACTATTTCTTCCCAGGAACCGGTGATATGTATGAGATAGGTGCCGAAAGTGGAAGGTACTACTCTGTCAATGTGCCATTGAAGGAGGGAATCGATGATCAAAGCTATGTTCAGGTAATTATATCCTTTATTTTTCACAGATTGTTTAATATAATAAAAATTACATAGTCTTTATTCTATTAGTATTTTAGTATTTTTAAAGAAGAGCTTCATCTTTAATAAAATTTGAAAAGATATGTCATTGTTGTCTCTAAATGTAGTGAAAAGATGAATTAAATAAACACTGTACAGTAAATTGTTATTTGGCTGCAGTCTTTTCATTGGTGGAACCTTATACCTCCGGTCGTCCTTGAGTATTTCATAGGAAAGGCCTCCTCAGCAGTGAGAATATTATAATTGATGTGGTGTGGAGTGTTGGATACATGTACCTTAATTTTTTATGGTGTCAAGGTTTTCATGGTGGTTCTACTCAGAGGTCAAGGGCTGGAATCACAGTGGAGTAAATGTTTTTAAACCGGTCATCTCGAAGATAATGGAATTCTATCGGCTTACCGCTGTAAAGTTACAATGCGGCGCCGATTCTCTCGCGGGGGATTGGCGCAGGTGCTTCTATAAGTAGACCAGGGGCCAAGTAGATACTGTAGGAACACGGTACGGTACAATTTATTGTATTGTATGTTGGAAGCTTATTGCTCAGACTTTGATGGTTTCCCCTAAGAGTTTACATAGGAAAGGCCCCAGTATGATTTTATTACACTTCATTTAATTTTCTTGATTTTTCGGACAATTTTGGTTTGACTATGGTTGCAATTAAATTCTTATGATTATAATTTCAGGTATTTAAACCGGTAATCTCGAACGTGATGGAATTCTATCGGCCTACCGCTATAGTGCTACAGTGCGGCGCCGATTCTCTCGCGGGAGATCGTCTTGGGTGTTTCGCGCTATCAACTCGTGGCCACGGGGAGTGCGTGAAATTCGTTAAGACTCTAAACGTGCCTACTTTAGTAGTCGGCGGTGGGGGGTAAGTACTTCCTTATATCGTTAATTATGGGTGTATTCCGTAATATATACCAGTATACTGGCCAGTGCTAAGAACGTCATGAATCGACGCTATACTGGTGAATTGTTCCGAAATATACAGGCCAGTGGACTGAATAATTACTTTACAATTATAAATCTAGCAGTTAAATGCTTAAAATAAATTTAAACGTTCTTGTTCAACGGATATAATTGTATTAAATATTATTATTATTTATGTTTATGTATAAATAAATTGCAAACACCCTTGCAGGGTGTCACATGTACTATTATAATATATTACTAAATTGTCATCTTTTAACCATGTGACTATGCAATAAAGAATTTGAATTTGACGTCATAAATCGACGAAATATTTAAAATGGTGCGATTAATCAAAAGGAATTATTTTTGTTCGGATGCCATTATTGTTCTTTAAATAAAAGAGAAATAAAATTCGAATGCATCTCACGCACGCTCGGTCATACGTAATATTCGTTTTTCCGGTAAAAATAATTATGATAGCATACAATATGGCGTCGGATTCGTGACGTCATTACCACTGGCCAGTATACTGATGTATATTTCGGAATACATCCTACAAGTGCGAATTTGTTTTATCATATAGCAGGGATATAATGGTTTAAAATTACTTCAAAATATATCGCCTATCCTATAATATTCTTTTTTTAGGAAAATGCACCAATAGTGCACCTTGCACTAACATTCTTCCTCATTTTTTACTGGTTTTCTGTAGCCCTTTTTTGAAGTGATTTGTATAAATAGTAGTTACTCATATTAATTCTATACTCAACATTGTGAAACGTTATTTTTACTCAACATACTCTCAACTCAACTTATAATAGTACTAAACTTAAGAAACAAATATTATAATAGTACTGTGTATAAGAAATTCGACACACCTGACAGATCTCAGCACATAGCGTTAATATTCGACTGGATACCGAAGAAGCTTCCATTTCAGCTCAATAACCTGGACCAAGTTTTGCTAATAAAAATAATCTTGGTATAGATGTTGCCTTTACAAATATTCTCAATATCTTCACAGGTATACACTGCGTAACGTGGCGAGGTGTTGGACATACGAAACTTCACTGTTGGTCGACGAGAACATTTCCAATGAGTTGCCCTACACTGAGTATCTGGAGTTCTTCGCACCTGATTTCCAATTGCACCCTGACGTTAGCAAGTAAGATAGGAATGTACTACTTTGATGTAACATAATATAGTTTATTATATTTATTGCAAGCATTTAACTGCTAGATGTACATTATTCATCTAAAGAATATTCCCGGATAGCAGAGGGTGCGGTTTTGAGTCCATCCGTGTGGAATTTTTTGTATAAAATTTCTTAACAGAATATAATTATGATCAAATGAGGAGTTCGACGGCGCGTTCTGTCTGCAATCGTGGAAGTTGAGCAACTTTCGCAATGACCGATTATTGGATGGGTGACCAAAAATTTGCTAAGGTTAAGCTGTTGGTCCCTGCTGCATCTGTATTCTTTATCACCCACCCATCTGCACTGGGACCGTATGGGGGGTCATAGTCTAATTTCCCTATGCCATCCATATTGAAGGCCTGGGCCCAGCAGTGGAGGTAATCATAGGCTGATGGTAATGACGACGTAAAGATTCACCTATTCTGCTATTTTGATCCATACAAACATTCAAATCTTTATAATGCAAATAGCCAAAGCTAATATAAATTGAAGAGATTCAAGGCACGAGTCGTTAGCCTTCTTCTGTACTGGATAAGCTCAACCCATTGTTTTAGTATTTAGGGATAGGTGGTGGTCAGAATTAAAATCAACTTCTACTGAAGTTCTGGGTTCGATTCCATTCGCTTTCCCTTTGACAGTAAAAGAAAAGTGTTTGAAAATGTAACAAAGATATCTCTTTCCTAAATGTAAAAGGAAAAGTACTGTCATGTCTAAGAATTCGCGAGAGGGACAGAATATCTTGCGCCATCATTTCGATTCATCTCGTTACTAGTGCGAGTTTTATAAACGGTTTCATCATTAGGAAGTTGCTGGTGTCTGTAAAATCTGATCTGATTTATAGAACCCGTATTTAATTATAGTAAATTATATCAAAATGTTTTTCTTTTTCAGCACAAACAATGCTAATAGTAAGCAGTATTTGGAGGCGATCTCTAAACACGTGTATGACAACTTAAAAATGTGCCAGCACTCGCCAGCAGTGCAAATGACTCATGTGCCAGGTACTTCATATTTAATATGATGACGCTTCACATGGATATTCGGTGTTTGCTTATTTGTGTTCATATTGGGAAAATATTGTGGAACTTGCCAATTATGTATGTCGCTCTATGGTTACGTGGTTGGTCGGATTGCGTTCTTGTCCTTACTTCAGCCAATCACTGCCCCCTTTTACGGCGCATATTTCCAGCTTTATCTTTTGTAAGTAATTGTGTGATAAAGAAAGCGCTCCACCAATATTGAACAGATTATAACCACACATTTCATTTCTTTTTTGTTAATTAGAAGAAATAAGCAAACATGAATACCCATGTAAAGTACCTGTATTAGATTTTTATAAAAAAGGCCATAGTGTGATAAGTGGTAAAATATTATGGAAATTAAGCACTTCACAAGCGATAAAAAATTAAGCGAATAGCAGTTGTAGTTTTTTTCACAAGCTTAACAAACCCTGTATTACAACTTTTATACCTTGTACATTGCTCAAAGCCTTTTTTGTAAGTTATACACAATAATATAGATAAGACATTAAATTATCCTTGTTTTGTTCATGATGAATTGGCAAATCTGTTTTCAGGTGATTTCTTCCCCGATGAGTACAGGATTAAAGATGAGCCTGACCCAGACGTGAAAATGACCCAAGAGGAGGCTGACAAATTAGTTGAAGCCAAGAACGAGTTCTACGATGACGAGAAAGATAACGACCGGGATCAGCCAACAGAGAATAAGGAACCATAGCATACGACCACCGAGGCCGACCCTCTGGCCATATGACAAGAGACAATATACAAAAAGTTCAAGAAAAAATTCATGTGAAGTGATCTCGTGTTGTGTGTTAACTGTGAACGAATCAGTTGAAAAGTGTAGTGAAGTGACATTTTTGTGTATAGGGTTATGAAGCCCTAATAACTTTTTGAAGCTAGATTTGGAGTAAAATTTAGCTGAACTTTTGGCTTTAAACACTAGCATATATGTTTACAGGGCCTTACTTTATAAAAACGAATTGCTTAGCAGGTCTTAATCTTGATAATGATTCCGTTTTCTCTGAAAAAGGACCAGATGTAAATACATAGTCACATTTTCAATGCCGTTAAATGGTTAGGACATAATTATATTACCCCTGAAGTGAGATTGACTTTGTGTAAGATAGCAAAAGAATTTATTATGCAGGATAACTGCAATTCCATTAGAAATCGTGAATAATTCATTGGTTTGCTAAGTAGATATATAGGTTTTATAGTTAAGTATGTATTGTTAATAAGATTACATGTTATTATAATATGATGAATTTTGGGAGTGTGAGTGGGGTACTCACGAACTGACGAACAGTGGTAACTACGAAACTTATCTATACAATGACATTATTTTCAAAGTATTTTGAACAACTTTTCTCTATGGAGATACCATATAGAAAAGTTTGAACCTCAATCGAGAAAGGTTAAATACGTTAAAACTGTATTGGTTTATGTAAAAATACTATAATCTTGACTGAATTATGTAATATTATTATTTAATTACTATAAAGAGGTAAAAACATTTTTAAAAGGCACTGCCTTATAGAGGCAGTTGTAAATAGCAGGTTTGGTAAGTTAAAAATTATAAAAGGCACGTTTAATAACTAGTAGCAGTTAAAACTAAGCAGTAAAGTAAACAAAAATGAGTAATAAAATATAACGAAATGGATCAGTGAATATATAATTGCGCAGGAAAATATATAAATAGGCGGTAAATAGCTCCGCCCAACTAACGAACATTTACCTCTCTTCTCAATGAATTTGAGTTCAAGTGTCACCGCTCGCTATGATCTGCCTAAACTTTTATCGAACCGCCCATTCAGTTATTAGACTGTTCAATTATTTTTAGAATTGACATTGTATGATAAAATAACCAACTAATTGTTTTTTTTATTACTGACCATGTATTACTGCCGCAATAATTAATCAACCGCCATTAAATTAAATAACTGCTCAATATGTTTTTCAACTGATCATAATAACATCCCGAATGTTTAAATAACAGCTCAAAAAATTAGTTCCCTTTTTAGAATAACACGAAACACATGAAATTTGACACATGATAAAATTTTCGTACCTAGCCCCTCTAGCATGACCACCGAAACGGGATATGTTAAAGCGATATATCGACCATTAACTGTCAGACTACTATGGAGTTTGACAGTAGTCTGACAGTTAATGTCGATATATCGCTTTATCATATCCCGTTTCGGTGGTCATGCTAGAGGGGCTGGAGCGACGCGTAAGTTCTTTAGGCTTCTAGGGTGTGCGTAGCAGGGGAGCCCAAGCGGGGATTTTTGAAATTACTTAAGCGTGGCAGAATAACATAAGGAGGGCAACCTTACACATTGTGAACTACTCCCACCTAGGGTTAACATTTTTTTTTTTCTATCAAATATAGTATTTTCGACACTGTTACCTCTAAAAATATAGTAGATGGCAAAAACTTCTTAATAATATACGTGCCAAATTTGAAGTAAATCCATGCAGAACTTTTTGAGCTTATCCTGGACACACAAACAGGACAAAATTCTAAAAACTATATTTTTGGCTTCGGTATCGACTGTAGATCACACCCCAAGTATTCTTTAAAAAAATATTCAATGTACAGTTTTGACTTTTCTACCATTTTATTATATATGTCGGAGTGGGCGAGCGGTAATATAGGCGGTTGGCCACGTGGTTCATCTTGATCCGCCATCTTGGTTATTCAATGTTATTTTCCGAAAATGAAACTGTAGTCTAATAACTTAGCTAATGTTTAATTTAAATCTTTAAATCACTTTACAAAATATGATAAGATTACAAGGATACAAATGGATTGCTTTGTGAAGCGCGGAGAGTTCTGTGCTAACGTCCATTCACTATCGCAGCTCACGTCTGAATGCCGAATGCCGAATGCTGAATGCCCCTTCCAATGAAGCGTTACCCCCTTAAATACTACCCTTAGCATAGACCACTCCCAAGTGATGACAGCTGTCACTGTCATAACTTGACGTTTCACAAAGCAAATGGTACAATGACTGATGACATTTGCTGTAGGTTTTACGTTTCGCAGGAGCGAGCGAGACGCCATCCGCCGACATATATATATATATATGTAGTATTTATTCGCCTAATATAGTAGGATAATATATTATATAGTAGGGTTGGCAATCCTACTCCCACCATACCATACCTAAGCCCTCTACGTAGGGCCGAACGACTAGTGCAGCATAAAACAAAACACACACGGCATTGACTTTAGGTCGCATGCATATTCAGTCAGTCTTTTGAATAGAAACTACTGGAAGTTTCACCTAACGTTTCTGATGATGGAAAATATATTGATCTGCCGGTTTTCATGGTCTAGGGGTACGAGCGTGTATAATATCTATATATATATATATACTAGTCGTTCGGCCCTACGTAGAGGGCTTAGCTATGGTATGGTGGGAGTAGGATTGCCAACCCTACTATATAATATATTATCCTACTATATTAGGCGAATAAATACTATATTTCTAAGAAAAATATATAGTCGGCGACACTACTATATTTTTCTTAATGCAGATTTTGGCCAGTAAAGGCGTTCTTAGAAATAAAAATAATAATTATTAAAGCATGGAAGAGCAAAAATATATTAATTTTAAAAATAAAGTAGATATTTTAACTACATACTATATTATTTTCTATCTTTTTGCCATCTACTATATTTTTAGAGGTAACAGTGTCGAAAATACTATATTTGATAGAAAAAAAAAATGTTAACCCTAGGTGGGAGTAGTTCACAATGTGTAAGGTTGCCCTCCTTATGTTATTCTGCCACGCTTAAGTAATTTCAAAAATCCCCGCTTGGGCTCCCCTGCTACGCACACCCTAGAAGCCTAAAGAACTTACGCGACGCTCCAGCCCCTCTAGCATGACCACCGAAACGGGATATGATAAAGCGATATATCGACATTAACTGTCAAACTCCATAGTGTCTGTCCTGTTTGTGTGTCTGGGATAAGCTCAAAAAGTTCTGCATGGATTTACTTCATATTTGGCACGAATTTTATTAAGAAGTCTGGTCAATATATACAGGATACATATTATCACGCTATCACCTACGGGGAACGAGTAGTGAACCTTGTTTTCTAACTCCACGCGTACGAAGTCGCGGCTGGCCGCTAGTAGGAAAATAGAAGAAATCGAGCGCGTCAGATATTGACAAGTTATGTTACGTCTACCCTCCTCCTATTCAAAAGACGGACTATTTGGACGCGACCAAAAGACATGGCCGATTGTTCAAACATTTTTTCGTTCGGCTTTACATTGAGGACCTCAGGCATGGTAGTAGTACTTCACAAGCTGCAAGGTTGCCCCGAATGTTGCCAGGATTTTACAGGAGATCTCCTATTTTTCTTAGAATACCTTTTTTTTTAATTGCATGCAATTGCACCTTAACTATCATAAATTAATTGTTATTGTCTTAAAAAAAGAGGTTTGAAGGGCGGTAGAAGCCCCAGAAAGTTTACGTCTCTTTAACGCCTCCCGATTTTTTAAAATCGGACGTGGCAACACTGGTTGCCTCCTAACGTAATCCTGCCGCGCTTGAGTAAATCCAAAAAACCCGCTTGGACTCCCCGACTATAGTGCGTAGGGCCGCTACGGAGTGCGCGCGCTGTTGCCAGTGTTACCAGATGAGGATATTATAAACGGTGAGTACAAAACCGCGGAATTTCAAACAAAATTAATTAATGTATTAAACTAAAGCAATATATTGCAGGCACTTTAATTATTCAATTAATCTTGAAGATTATTTATAAATAGGGTGAATATATTTGATCTAGCTCTAGTTTACATAATCTACTTTTATTTAGTAAATTCAATATGAAATAAACTTATTTGTCTGTTAAAAAATAATTGTAAATGATTTGTTTTTATGCCTGGGGTAGGTATACATCGGTTCCTCACCCATGCGTTTGAAATGTATTGAAATTATGTAGATTGCTGCAAAAAGTATAATCCTAGTCTGAACAAAATGGCCGCCCGTGCCGCTTAAACTGCAATCTGGAGCATTTAGAGATCCGCGTAAAAGAAATGTAGCCGCGCCTGAAACTCCTGTTGTTTGTCGAGACTACGTATGGGGAAATTGTTACGGTCCAAATATCGTCATGAATGCACGAAAGAAGAAATGTTGTCAATATTGCAGTTTAACCATTAACCTAACCTAACCTACCCCAAGCATGAACATCTAGCGATAAAGTCTTTGTATCGCCATCGTTAAAGTTTCTGAGAAGACGTATTTATTAGACTTTCTACCCTGATTTATATTTTTTTATTTTCTTTTCAAATTATGAGGCAAATCATAATAGGGTAGCTGCCATAATTAAACATAAATAATTATCGTAATCGTAAAAATACGCGTCAAATTAAAACTTAGGCAAATACCCTATTAAGCCAAATATACAATGACTGCTGTACTTATTGCTGAAGGAAAAAATGTTTGCCGATGAATAATAAAAATAATTTATGAAATGTTGATGTCCTTTTCTTGGTATAATTGATGAATGACATGAGCAGGTCTGTCTACAAGTAGGTAGAGGGAGTGCTATGTAACCGGTTTCCAACGTGTCTTTTACTCCAAGGTTCTGGGTTCGAATCCTGATGAGGGTTATTGTTTGTATGATGCATTTGTACCCAAGTCAAGGCTGTCCACAACAAATGCCGTGCTTGCTTTGGGGCTAGGCTTATTGGTATGATATTTTTTTTATATTTTATACATATGCACAGGGGGGTATTCACTCTAGCTAGGCCATGGCCCGGGGCGGTAGCTTCCCGCTCGCCCGTTTAATAGTATGAAGATACACCTCCAGACACATCCATCGACCCTCAAAGCGTTATAAGTTTCAACAATGCTCTGTACAAAAAAAAATAGTTGGGAATATTAGAAAAAAAACGTAAAAGATGGTTAATAATAATCAGCTTCAAAACTTTCTGCTCAAGGTAACACTTATTTTTAACTAGGGACCGTCAAAGTCAAAACTTAAAATGCTAGGTGGAACGATGGAGGTGTACGGGTGATAGTTTAAAATTGTTTCACAATGCAAGTGCTCGCCGCGCATCGTTGCCATTCCGATGTGAATTGGCTTTAAGGGAAGCTAACAACGGCCAACGCAGCCGGGACCAACGACGTAACGTGCCTTCAGTAGCATGGAGGTATCACATTTTTTTGTCACCCATCCCATGACCAGCCTTAGATATATGTGGCTTTACTTCCCTAAAAGATGGAAGGCCGTAACCACAGCGCTATCGAGGTTTTTTCAATGACATTATTCATATCGACAGTGGGAAGGCAAAAAAAACGTCACTTTGGTTTTTTTGCGTCGATCTGTACCCTTAGTACGAACCAATATCGAATTCGTATCGTTGCAATGTCATTGTCAAATGTGTACTGACTTTTACTTCTCGTTACGTACGTTATGGCGCTAATGTTCAAGTTTTCATACAAAATTTGACAATGACATTTCGGACTCGCAAACTATTCGTATTCGATAATGGTTCGTGCTAAGGGTACTTTATGTTTCGTGAAGATTTAAGTACTTTTTGGCGTTTAAGCAGCTCAAATTTTTGAAGATTTTTATTGTTCACAACGCTGAAGTGACATAAATTTTGGTGCTTTTAACCAATGGCGCTTCAACCCTACTATTTGGTGTATGATTTGATGTTTTCTTGACAAAAAATGTATGGCGGTCCGAGTGATTTTCGCTTAAGCGACATCTAATTCGTAAAGGCTCTAAGTAACTTTTTAATAGGAGAATAATTAGAATTTGTTTTTTTAATAAGTAGGTACGTTTATATTTATAAGACGCTACTTCTAGGCATGCGTCCGATATATCAAAACGAATCCAAAATCCGATTTCAAACATAAATCGATACCGAACGATTTCTCAACAAGAAAATCCGATTTCAGAAATCTAACCAAACCAAAACGATAGCGATCTAATACCACCACAAGTATCCAAATGTAAATCGGATTCGAAATTCATGCTATCTTTTTTACTCCGCTATGTAGCGATTGGTTAGAAAGAAAGTGAATTTCTTCACAATTTCGAGCGTCACTACTTCGTAGTAGTAGAGCGTAGTCTTACAATCGTAACAAAGCGGAGTAAAAAAATGGCGCGAATTTCAGTAGTCCGATTTCGGTTTGTTGTTTACGGAAATCTATTGCCCTTCTCTAAGGCGGGATTATTTATCACTGAAAAAAAGGTGTTGTCTAAAAACATCAAAAGTCGAGCAACTTACATTTTTGAACGCTAACCTGAAGGAATTAGGTTTGATTTTGTAAATGGTTTTAAAATAATAAAAACAAACAGAAAAATAAAAACCAAACAAAAAAAAATACTAAAAAAATTTTTGTAAAAAGTCAAAATCATTGCCCATTTTTTTAATGCGCCGGAAAATTTTCACTTTTAACCGTAAACAACTTTTCTGCTAGTCCTAAGCCTAGATTTAAAGCATGAAGGAAAATCGCGCAAATCTACGAGTATCCTTGCTTCCTACAATTAATTGTTTGTGATTGTCGTTAGCTAATAAAACCAAATCTTAACACAAACTAGTGAATTGGCTAAGTTAGGCACATCTGAAATCGGATATCTAAAACCGGATTTTGAAATCTGAAATCCGATATATATCCGTTTGCGTTCAAAACCAAAAACGCCCATGTCTAGCTACTTCTCATTTACAGAGTTCTATTTTTTTTGTGAAAAAAAAACTGATCGTCTTTTCTGTAAAGTTACTAAAGTGGTGTCTAAGCGATTTAGCTTTTCTGCTGTTGGTATCAACGATATTAATATCGTTGGTTGATATGCATAAGTCTTTATATGAATAATATTAAAGAGATAGCAGAAATTGAATTGTGTCAAAGTATCTAATGTTGTAACTAGTTAGGGATATTATATTTTAAAGGAGTTACTTATAATTAGGAGTTAATTTAATGACCTATAGGTCATTGGAATGGTTATACTTTTGGTTACTCCGGTATAAGGTATGAATATGTGGGCAACTAACTAAATAAATTAAAGAACAATTTGTGAAAATAGTAAAATATTTACTTCTAAATTAGATTACAATAAATATATAGAATAAATTTTAATAGCCACCTAACTTCAAATCCAAATTATTCTCACTAATATACCTTTGTACATCTGTCATTTCATCAGTTATTGCCACTGTTAACATTTGTAATTTTTCACAAGTCTTGACAACTTGTTTTAGTACTTCTTTGGACACATCAAGCGTACAGTCCAACCATAAGTAGTTCATATTACTGAAACTTCCCTTTTGTAATAAATGCAACAATGTGTCATCTAAATTAGTCTTTGTTTGATATTTCAACACTAGCTTCTCTAGAAATTGAGTACAATCTAGAAAAAAAGTTAATATGTGGTCAATGTTAAAATTCTCATTACCTAATGTAAGACTTCTCAATTCAGTGAAGATATTTTTTGGTCTCCTGAAATACCTAGGAATAGTTAAACATTTGGATTGAGTCATTAGACACAAGGAATTAAGATTTGGACAACAATAACCAATGGATAAGACAGCATCTAGTGTCAGAGAATGATCAATCTCCCACAAAGAGAAATGTGTCAAATAGTTTCCTTTATTAGCCAAAAGTTGTTGCATAGAATCTGTGTATGAGAAGAAAGATAAATCCAATCTGTTTAACCTTAATTCACTCAATGATATTTGCTCCAAAATTGCATCCTTATTGTGTTCAGACAAGTGTGTGACAGATAACTCCCTCAAGAATGGGCAAATTTTAATTAATTTTTTAATACCTTCAGCTGAAGCAAAATGGCAATTGATTTTTCTGAGACTCAAAGGACCTATATCCATTACAGTGCTGATCAAAGTCGAACCAATATCACAGGATTCAATTTTCAATTCTTCTAAATATGGAAGCTCATTGACTAACATAATTATCCCTGCTTGTGAAACACAACGACCTACACGATTTGCCCTTTCGTTTCTCGGAGGATCCATAGCTAACACCCTCAAATGTTTTAAATTTGCAATTGAGCACAAACCATTATCAGAGACATTTCTGATTAATACAGAAGCATTGAAGAGGGATTTACAAATATTGACTCTGGATACTATATTGATTTCCTCAAGTAAAGGACAATTCATACCGATAACTTGAAGAATTTCATCTGTACAAATGAACTTGAGATCAAGGACTATTAAACGGCTGAAATTTGAAAGGGTCTCAACCCAAAACCTCTGTGGTATACTATTGTCAAGATCGCATTTGCGGAAGACAGTCATGTTGGGGTGTGTTAACACGTGGAGTTGAACTCTGGGGTCGCCACGATACTGGCAGCATGTTCTTTCAGAACAGAGGATGTCAAATAACCTGAAAAAAACAACATATTTGGTTAAAACTTCCATTATTAAAAGTAAATAAAAGGTATTGTAAATTTCTATAAGCAGTGCAATAACTCCATTGTTCTAGAATTACTCAATGTATTAGAATTGTAGATAAAGTCATCAAAATCTTATAGTTATTAAAATGCAATAAAGTGGTACATTACAGATAAAAATGTTCAACTAGAAATATTGTAGATTTCAGCTAAAATAATAACATTATACCTGACAGGAAGCATCGACATCAAATAATACTTCAACTCAAAGGCCTGCCTCTCACAATCATGAAACATATTTTCAGGACAACTTTTCTCAATAACATAACACGCAGAATTTATCAAATCAATGCAGTTCTTTATACATATTTTGAACAAAGTAGATGGCTGTTTACGAGGCGACATTCTGTTTGGAACACGAGAACGGCAAAGCTGAAAAACTATGATTATTATCACTAAAACTGGTTTAATCGAAATTGAAGAAAGTGTTACATTTTATGATTACATTATTTTTATCAATTCACTAGATACTGCTTTGTTATTTGGTCATAAAAGCTATGCGATCGATGCCCTTGGAAGAATGAAATCGCAGCGAAATCGCTCGCAGCACAGAATAGCTAGATTGCGTTCCAATCTACGCTCCAAGCGCGACAAATGTCAAATTTAACATAACTTTCATTCTTATAATTTTAATTTTTTAAGCATGTAACTGATTGATGTTTAAATCTAAAGAAAATATAACTAGAAAAAAATCCACGCGGACTAGGCAGCAGACGGGACTCGAACCCGCACCCTTCGCAATTCGGGCGAATGCACTAACCAATTATTAATATGCTACCGCGGCCCTGACGGCCGCGTCTAAATTCTTCTAGCCATTCTTAAGCTGTAAGGTAGCGCCATTTCTTCGCATTGTAGGTAACCCACAATGTCAAATGAATACTTTTACAAGTATTAAACATTTGAAAGAAAAAATAGCAATTATACTTATAATTTTAATATTTTAAGCATGTAACTGATTGATGTTTAAATCTATAGAAAATATAACTAGAAAAAAATCGACTCGAACCCGCACCCTTCGCAATCCGGGCGAATGCACTGACTGTTACCATTACTTATTAATTGGTCTTTGCATCACAACGATATTAATATCGTTGGTGCATTATTGTTAAATATTTGTAAATAGAATGTTTTTTGTGTTACAGAAGACTTTTTTGTAATTTCTATATCTGATAAGATTCTAAATTTTAAATTTAGAATTAGAGCGTAAACCAATAAAATAATTCAATTGTTTTCCATATAAAAAGACATGCAATCCCAGCTAACACTCATTCAGGAATGTGACTTAGTCAATAGTTATCGAATTTAAAATATATTGTCACAGAAAGTTGTGATTTATAAAATGCCACGAGGATTATCAGATGTTTTACGAGCCATTATTGTAACTTTGAGGGAAGAAGGCTATTCTACGAGAGAAATAGCACGCAGAGTTGCCATATCCCAATCCCGTGTAGTAACCAAGTTGTAGAGGTACCGGCATGGGTAATTTAGCTGATCGACCCCGTAGCGGTCGCCCAACTGTTTTTACAGCTACATCAGGAAGAAGCGCTACATCAGGTTGCTGGTAGCCCGCGACCCATCAATAAACGCCACTAAATTGAAAGCAGAAATACGGGCTGCCTCCGGACTTGAAGTTAGCACTCGGACCATTCGGAATTACTTACACAAGGCTGGATTACGAGTACGGAGGTATTGGCGAGCACCTTTGAATTCACGGGAACGTCAGCGTCGGAGATTACAGTGGGCTAGGCTCCGGCAAAACGAAGAAGACGAAGAGGAAAAAAAAATGGATGCGTGTAACTTATGTACGCGCGTGAGAAGTTATACTTCTTTAGCATCATTAAAAATATTTTTTAATTGCATGCAAATAATTAATAATTACAATAAAATAATAAAAGGACTGGAAAAGGATAGTTAACACAGTCAATTAAGTTCAGTTTTAATTTGAAAAATTAAATAAATATTCAAAATATTCAATTAAAATCACTACTGAATTTAAGTTATTAGTCCATATGTAATTAGCATTTGTAAGTAACTAAAACACGTTGTGTCTATATAGAAACCAGAAACATGTGGATAAATATTATAAATATGAAAACAGTGATCAGAGGCGACGAGCGTGCCAACATTGTTTTTGACAACGCGATCATCTTATGGAGCTCCGTGGATCGTTCAAAGTACCTTTCGAACAGATGTCTAATAATGGTGGATTATTAACCACTAAGTGGTTAATAATCCACCATTATTAGATACTAACATTCATAACGTGCCCGCGGCCAACTTCATGGTGTTACTATTGTGTTACAGTGATGCGCGCGCATCTCGAAATTTCACTCACATGATTTTTTCATAACGCGCCCGCGGCCAACTTCATGCTGTTACTTTTGAGTTACAGTGATGCGCGCGCATCTAAAAATTTCACTCTCATCATTTTTTCATAACGCGCCTAAAGAAGTATAACTTCAAAAATTTGGCAAAACTGCTTCTTCCTTGACGAATCGCGAATCAGTACTCATCCAGATAACCGACGTGTCCGTGTTTGGAGAAGACCTGGAGACTCTGAAAGGCAAAGAACGGCCACTGGAACGGTTCAGCAAGACGGGAAATCAGTGTCATTTTGGGGTGGTATTATGATTGGGGCTAGAACGCCTTTAATCCCTTATCAAGGCTTCATGACGGCAGAAAAAAACAAACCAGTCGTTATTGATGATATCGTTAGACCTTTCCGAGTAAACCATGGGCACCAATTTGTACTGGTTGATGATAATGCGCCCGTACATTGAGCTCAACGAGTCAATGCTGCTCTCCGAGAATACGAAAACACAAGGTTAGACTGGCCTGCCGGTTCTCCTGACTTAAACCCAATAGAGCACACGCGGGATGCTCTTAAGCGAGCTGTTTGGCACCGGCAGCCACCACCCCAGACAGTGCCGCAGTTCAGGAAAGCTGCTGTTCAAGAATGGGACAGGTTACCACAAGAAACGCTGGATAACTTGATTCTCAGCGTGCCCATGAGGATCTCCGCTTATGTTCGAGCCAGAGGAGGAGTTATTATGTATTAATAATAATATAATAATAATTTATTTCAGATACTAGATCCATAGAAATGTTAGTAACAATCAAACCTTAAAAACTATGTTAGTACATTTTAATAACAAAGTTTTTTCATATATATACCTTCTGAGGCACCGGTCACATGAATATGTACCCAGTGCCTCAGAATGGCACACTCCGGTTTTTTTGCGATAACATCGAGAATACTGTTGCGCTCCCACGAACCCTGTGCATCAACGATGCAATTCTCTTGCGCATCACTGAAGGGAAGTCGTCTAAGTGGGCATCTGCGAACATACCCGATGCACTACAGTAGCGTGGGAGTCACAACAACATCCTCAATCCATTATTATATTGGACACGGATAGCGTTGTATGTCCGCTGCGTATATCTGACCCACAGGGCGCACGTGTACAGAGACTGGCAGTAGGCCTTGAACAAGGTAATTTTAACATCTACATTACAGCGAGCGAACCTACGAGCCAGCATGTTGCAGCGGACAGCCAACGCTCTCCGTGCTCTCTCAATATCTGAGTCATCTTTCAAGTCCTCAGTGACCCCATGTCCGAGGTACTTAAACTCTGTGCCACGTTTGAGTGCCACACCACCCAGTGTCACAGGGGGAACAACGGCCGGTTTTTTCGAGCCTACGCCAAATACAAGGAGCTCACTTTTAGCCACGTTATAGACCATGAGTCATAATGTAAGCCTCACACACTGATAAGAGTCTTCTAAGGGCGCTGATGTATTAGACACACAACAATATATTAATAAATGGTTTGAAAGTTTGGTTAAACTATCTTTTTATTTCTATCAAAGTTGTATCACAAACTCCTTAGGATTTAATTATTAATTTTTTATACCAAAAAATAAGATTAGTTTTATTGTTTAATTCAGAAAGTGTATTTTTAAATAAAAAAAGGTATAACGTAAACATTTTTTCTTGATTAAGTTAAATTTTGAAAATATATCAGCTTTTGCTTTTGCTTATAAGTGATCTTAAACTTGTTTTGATGTGTGTATGGTGGAACGGCGAGTGGTCTAATGCTTCGACTCAGTCGATCATCCTTCCACTTCATAAAAAGGGATCGACCAAAAAATGTGATAAATATCGCACACTCGCTCCAGTCTCCCATGCTAGCAAAATCTTTCTGCATATTTTAATAACCTAGATTATGTTGACGTGCACCAGCAACCAAATACTTAATGTAAAGCAGATTGTGGAGAAATGCTATGAATTCGACTGACTGGCTATAATGTGTTTTGTCAACTGGAACTGTTTACGGAGTGTCCAATCGGAACTGGGTGTACGTCATCATTTAGCTGAACCCTTTTTATAACCGCCGACGGTGATGCCAATTGATGATGATTACAATTGTAATTACTATATTTAGAACAGCCAAGGAATAGTGAGATTTGGCGGAACCTCTTATAAGACATTTAGATTTGAAAGAGGATTTTAGCAGGGCTGCATTCTTTCACCTATCCTATTTGATATATATGATGATTACTCAATGAGGCGTACCTGCGAGGGCTTGAATGGAGGCATCACCGTCGGCGGTCATAAAATTTCTAACTTGTGCTATGCTGACGATACCACCTTCATGGATAGGATTTCAATAAACAGGTCCAAAATCAAGATTATGGTCATAGATTGCAAAGGCAAACTTGAGCTCACTGGGAAACTTGACTTGGAGGAGATTGATAACTTTATATACATGGGCTCAAGTATCAGCTGTTGTAAGGACTTATGCAAAAACGAGGTACAACGAAGAATCGCGATGGCAAGGGGCGCCATGTAATAGCTCTGCAAGATATGGAAGTACAAAAACATATTATTGAAAACCAAGTACAATCTTCTACGCACCCTGCAACTGACTGTGACTGAATCGATGCTTTCGAGATGTGGTGCTGGGGAAAAATGCTGGGAAATTCTTGGACAGCACATCGCACCAACGAACGAGTCGATCCTGCAGAAGCTATAAATACACACAAGGGTTTCCACCATTTACATACGAAGGTTCCTGGATTACTTTGGCCACATTGCCAGGAAGAATAACAACATACTAGAGAGGTTAATGGTCACTGGCAAAAGAAATCAGACGAGGGGAAAAGACCACTTGGAAAAAGTCCGACAGGTTGGACTGATCAGATCCGCACCGCTCTAAATACCACAGTTCACGACGAATTTATTACTCTCAAAAGATATCAATCCTGGCCCAATTTTTTTTTATAGATAGGTCCGACAAATGACTCTACCCCACCTGATGTTAAGTGGTGGTGAAGTCCAAACGTGAAGATAGCTGGTACAGCAGTTTTACCTGCCACACTAGCCATTCTCACCTTGCCGGCCTGCATGTTGCTTCTTCACGCCTCTTTTAAAGGATCCCAGGTTGTAAGAAGGAGGGAACATGTGAACAGGCAGAGCATTCCATTTACGGATAGATACAAAGGATAGATAGATAGCGACAAAGAAATGAGTCACCAAATTTCTTTGTACGCGTTGGAATTGTGGCCACAGTTAGACGTTGACACCAAAGGCCAGCGCGCGTGGTCCTCTGAAGGAAAGGGGAAGGTGGAATAAGAGAGAATAACTCTTCAGAACACTCGCCGTGATACAGACGATAGAACGCGCTTAGTGACGCAAAATCACGGCGTAACTGAAGAGGCTCAAGTTGTTCAGCCACCTCCTCTTCGCCTACGATGCGGATCGCACGCCGGTGTAACCTATCCAAAGCATCGAGCAAGTACTTGGCGGAACCATCCCAGAGGTGCGAGTAATATTCCACGCAAGATCGCACCTCTTATACAACAAGCACAGTTGCTCGGGTGTGAAAAAGCGCTGCACCTTGTTCAGGACTCCGAGTTTGCGTGAGGCCGTTTATACCACGCTTTCGATGTAATTCTTTGGATTTAAGTCACAGCGAATTTCCATACCAAGCATGGTGATACTGCTCTGTAGCTCTATTGTTGTGCCCTGAAGAGAAGGACATGACAGGAATGTTTTTGCCGTGAAAGCGCCGACCTGGGTTTTCTTAGCATTGAACTCAACCAAGTTCTTGGTACCCCATTCAGAAATATAGCAGTTTAATGCTTAAAATAATAATAATATAAAAAAACTTATATAGAATATTATCTCAGAGTTATTTAAAGTTAAAGTCTAAAAATCTTTATTAAAATGGAATGCACATTATAACTCTTTTGAATCGTCCATATTTTTTCCCCTACCACCAGTCAAGGACATTTTTTTAGCTGTGGAGAAAAACTGGTGAAAATAACTTCACAGCGTTAAATAATTATTTAAATTATTACAAAATATAATATTGTCACGGTGTCAATAAAAAGCATATCATTTTCATCATAATTATAGAAAAAGCCTGCCGGAACTTTTGGAACAGTTTATACACAAATATTTTTGTCTGAAATATAATCTTATATAGGCTTGATTAATAAGAACTCTTTTAATAGTAGCTTTTAATTTATAGACGCTTAATTTCTGGCTATTGCTAGGGACTTAATTGTAGAAGCGCTAAGAATACTGTAGTGTCCACAGGATCCATATTTTTACTCTGATAGTTACACTGGTTTCTGCTTTACATTGGGTAATAAAATGTGTAAATGTTTAGTTTTACCTTCACTAAGAAGTAAAACATTATCGTTAAAACAGTGAACTACTTTAGAGATGACATAGTTCACATGGTCAATAAGTGGTTGCTAACATTTAATTTAAAATAAAAGTGAAGTATCATCTGCAAACAATACTATCTCGTGATTTCCTTTACAAAGTAAGATAGGTCATTTATATGTATAAATTAAAAACAAGAAAGGACCAAGAATTGAGCCCTGAAAAACACCCATATTTACTAACGATTCGGGAGATTTTTTGCCATTGATGTCAAATCTATGGATCCTATCGCTCAAACTACCTTTTAATCCATAGTGGCGTAGTTTCCTGATTTATATTTTATAATTTTCATAAAAACGCAATTAAAAGCCTTGGACAAATCACAGAAGATACTTAAAGCATCACGTGACTCGTCCCAGGCATCAAAAATATATTGTAAGAACTCAACACCAGCATCGGTTGTCGAGCGACCCCTTGTTTAACCAAATTGTTTTGAATTAAGTAACTTACTTTTATACAAATAAGATTGCATTTGGTCTATCATATTTTTTTAATATCTTAGTAAAAGTGGGTATAGGTACTAAAGTTTGTGGGATCCGAAATTAGGGTTCCAAACTTAGATTAAAACAAAAAGGGTAGATACGGCACTAGCCTAACAAAAGTGATCCGCACCAATTGTGGTCCACTACCCTAATCGCTTTAGTCACAACTTGACATGCAAACGATATTCATGTGAACGCCAAAAAGAAATATTGCTAATATTTTTTGGTTATATGATAAAACAATCCCTAAGTGTGTTTTTAAAGAATCCAATTTGCTCAAAAACTAAAAATAAAACCCACGGCATCACTTTTCATTCGTAAGTAGGTACTATGAAATATATTTTTCCATAAAAAAAGTTGTTTGTTTTGAATCTTATTCGGTAGTGACGTCGAGTACTGGTCGCCTGATTGGTCGGTAATGCAGTGACGCGGATCTCGCCGTCTCGTTTGCGCTGCCGTTGAAACTTAACGTGCTGTTTCGTTCGGGTCGGTAATGCAGTGACGCGGATCTCGCCGTCCCTTTCGTGGAATCAGTTTTTGTTTGATGCAAGTATGAGCGTACCGTATCTACCCTTTTTGTTTTAATCTAAGGTTCCAAATCAACAATCAACCATAAGGGATGAAAGTTTTATCAGAAACGTCCGTCCGTCCATTCGTAGCTTAGCTCAGAGACTATCAGTGCTAGTGCGCACTGTAATTTGGTACGGATTGATTTATAACCTCTTTCTGTGTTCTGTGTTTAAAAGTATAGATAATTATGTTGCCAAATAACAATCACGGTGGTAATACAATATTGTTACGTTTATCGGGAAATGGTTCGTAATTAGTATGCCAGTTCACGCTTGGCTGTTCTTTATGAAGCACTTAGTCCTATGGTAATAACACAATAATTATACTTTATACAATACACTCACTGTACATTATAGAAGTCCATATTCACGAACACTTGCACTTTGATTGCCTTTGTCATCATTCTGAAATAGCTGTTGAATTAAAATAAATAAATATTTCCAACACTCACACCAATTAGCCTAGCCCCAAAGTAAGCACTGTAAGGCTTGTGCAATGGGATACTAGGGTAACGGATAGAATACATATACAGTATATTATTTATATAGAAATACATATTAAACATCTATGACTGGAGTACTCGTATTCATCACACAAACATCTGCCCCCACCGGGATTCGAACCCGGGACCTCTCGAGGCGGCGACACCATGAAACCCGGCATACAAACCACTCGACCACGGAGGTCGTCAAAATTATTTTACTATTTGCACTTTATGATGGGGTGACTACGGAACCCTACATTTTGTGTGTGATACGCACTTTGCCAGTTTTTCTCCTCTAGCTTCTTACTTGACGGCAGCTAGAGCAATAGCTTCTCATCATCTACTTGAGGTTACTTTATTACACTGTATTAAAGTAATACTACCTATATCAAATCTGAATGTAGGTACCAGGATAACATTCCGTTATTAAAATTAGTACAAATACTGTATTATATTAAATATCCATGATTCTAGTACAAATACTCGTTTCACCATACAAACATTTGCCCTTAGTGGGCTTCGAACCCAGCTCTCAGCTTCGTAGCCGATATCTTGAACGGACTTGACGGAGGTTTTCAAATATTGAAACAACAGGTTAAATTATTAATGTTTATTTTCTGTCATCTCATCATTTTCCATCACGACTTGAGTTCTAAATCTAAATAAATTAAAATTTTTATACATATTTTCATAATAATTTCTTTCTGTCTCACTAAATGTGTTATCTGTCTTTATGTACCTATTTATTACAAACTATAATAATTTTGTCACAGTTTATGGAATCATTTTTTTAACATACGTACTTCGTGATTAGGTATTTTCTTATGCTACGGTCATACAATTGCACTATCGCGAACATTTGCCGTTTTCACGATGCATCTAACGTTTGACCCGACTTGTCGTGAAAACGGAAAATGTTCACGATAGCGCGACAGTTTGGCAGTAGCATTACAGTGATTGGCCTTCATTGGAATCTGTACATAGTACTTATTGATCTTTTTTAGAAGCCATAGGTGTATTAAGTAAATATTATCTTGTGCTAAGAATGTGACATATAAATGCCTATTTTAAGAACTACATTATAAAGTGTAAAATTGTACCCAGTTATTTTTGATTACATAGTTTAATACAAATTCGGTTTTATGAGATGGAAATGAATGTGTTTGATTGTTTTCTTGTTAAGAAAATAATTCAATATTTTTTTAATTATCGTCAAAATATTTCTAATGTTTTTTTATACCTTGGTTATGGTCTTATAAACGTTCATAATAATAAACGAGGAATAAGCTTACGGTAGTTAAGCTGTCTTTTGTTCATGTCACTCACATACCACGAACTTCAATGAACAGGGACAAAACATGAAATAACTGATCTAAGCTTATTTTTCGTATATTAATAAGGGGGTATAAGTACTTATGTACTCGCTACATTTTCACAATAAGTAGATATATTTAATAAAATGTTGATTCAGTGACAAGAAACAGCCGAATGCCCAAACATTTCTTTGTAAGTCTAAAATAGCTGCCAGACATCATGGTGCCTAATTAGCTGAAATCTGACAGCTATTCAAATTAAGAACATAGTGTGATAAGGCATTGACTTCGAAAAAAAAGTTTGAGTATTTGGCCTCAGCAGTTGTTAAATCTTACTTGGAAGCGAACTTCACTCGTTGACTTGTGTGCTAAAAGGTAGTCACACCGAGAACGCGACGCCACCCAATGACCCGACGCGTGTTGAGTAAAATAAAATGTAGGTATTATTCTCTATGCTCCGAAACACATTAGAAACATCCGACGCGCACACGCTGATCATAGAAAATACGCATGGCGTGGCGTCAGGTGGCGTTGCGATTAAAAAGTCTGTCGCGGTCTTAATGAATTTGGTAATATTTTGAAAGAACAGAAAAAGCTATCGTATTGTAAGTTTGTAACAGAGCTATTCGCAAGTAGTTCTTTATCGTTTGAATATCATTCGTTCCTTATTTATTGAGTAAAAAAAGGTTTTGATCCTTAATAAACTGACAGTAATAGATATCCTTGTTAGGTCTTAAATAAGTCAGTAATTCTATTCTGTACGACCTACTTACATTCTATTTTTAATTTAATTATTATCTCACTAATATAATTATTTCTCTATACGATTTAAAACAGATATAATTATATAATACTTTATAGTTATTACCTATTTACATTTTTATCTCTTAGTATCATTGTAAGAAGATCTAATAAAATTTGAAAGTTATCTACAGAATATCAATTTTGGCACTATTATTTCAATAATGGACATTAAATATTATTTCTTTCATACAAATACCTAACTACATCATTAATTTACTATTAAAATTTCCACGATTTAAATAAATTCTATTTAGCATTAGGTATATTGTGCTTGTATTAATTTAGAACTAATAATAAATTAAAAATCATTAATGTTACAGTAGACATTATCATATATTCTTTGTTCACACTTTACCTAGGTATGTATAGTCAGCAATAGTTCAAGTATCAAAGCTGTAATTTATTTTTCACATATCTTCGATATTTATTTCTATTAAAAGAAATAAAAAGAGTCACAGATTGAAAAAAAAAGCGGTCAAGTGCGAGTCGGACTCGCGAAGGAAGGGTTCCGTACCAAAAACGGCTAAAATCATGTCTGTTGTTTAGGGACCTCTCTTAAATATTAATTTTATAATATTTTTAGTATTTGTTCTTATAGCTGCAACAGATATACATCATCTGTGAAAATTTCAACTGTCTAGCTATCACGGTTTATGAGATACCTGGTGACAGGCAGACAGACCGTCAGACGGACAGCGGAGTCTTAGTAATAAATAAGAAATAAATAAATACTGTTTGCTGACTTGTTGAGTTGAGGAAAAATTTCAAATGTATGTAAGATCTACTTTTTTGATTTACTATTCAATTCGACATAAGTTCTTATTACTTACTCTATGTAATTTTTTTTAATGAATTTTTCAATTGTTTAATTAAAAAAAAATACATTCTATGCAAATATTTCGAATGCACCATAGAGTTAAAATAAAAAAACCAAATACATACCTACTTATTAGTTTTTTTTGTCAAGGCCTTTTAATTTTGTTTCCTAATTAAATTATATGGTACTGACAGATTTAAGCTAAATTAAAGGCCACCTGATTACAATTGTAACTGACTACAAGTGTAAGAGTAATCTGTAAAATTCAATTATGCTTTTAGCAATTTTTTATCCTCAACTTTAAAATAACGTTTGAGTATTCGCTCTCAAGAATATTCTTAAATTGTAATAATATAAAAATAATATAATAACTATTATAATGGCGTGCTTTTGTTTTTTTTAATTGGATTAATACTAGACATGGAACGAGTAGTGATTCGCCGAGAACTCGGCCGAATGCTCGGCTTTAAGAAAAACGCGGTGGCGCGCGGTTATCCCTTACACAGAGACAGCAACAGCGTGATATTGCAGCGCGACGAATCTGTACACGGGGAATTCCCTTTGAGCGGGGAAAACCCTAACTTCATAATTTGTCAACTCATTTGTCACTTTTGTACGAGTATTCACGTAGAAGAGGTTACGCTTGCGTGTTTAGTTAATTATTTTATGTAGACAACGCGTAATTTATAATATAACAAGAAGATGTCAAGTAGTGCAAAAAGGTCGGGTGTTTGGAAATACTTTGTTGAGGTTGATAAAAACAAGTCTAAGTGTAATTTGTGTGGAGTTCAACTATCACGTGGAGGTATGGGAAAAAAAGCGACTACTTCGTCCATGAAAAGAAATTTGCAGACTAAACATAAGTTGGAGTATGACGAGGTTTTTGGTACTACAAGTATTGCTGGTAGCTAAGAATTTGTCTCTCAGTCCAGTGAATCACAAGTGACTGGTGTTTTGAAGCAGCCGTCTTTAGAAGATATGTTAGAAAAGAAAAAGATGTGGGAATTTAATGATTCTAGAGCAAAGAGGTACCATTATTTAATCGGTGAAATGATCGCAGTGGATAACGAGTCATTGTCTATCGTGGAAAGTCATGTGGGTTTCGCAATTTGTCAATAATATTTTACCGCATTACGAAATACCAAGCCGAAAATATTGTAGCCAAAATGTAATTCTGATGCAAATCCATATAAATGGTGGGATTCTAATAAAGTTCATTACCCCATCTTGGGAAAATTTGCGGCTCAATACTTATCAACTCCCACCAGTTCAGCTTACAGTGAACGGCTTTTTTCAGAGGCGGGCTTAATATATGAAGCAAAAAGGAGCAAACTAGACCCAAATAGGGCCGAAAAGCTAGTGTTTTTGCATCTTCTTCTTCCTGTCTTAAATTTTAAGTATTAGTAATCATATATCTATTATAGATTCTCATGTACGTTTTCAATATTTCTGCTGTTTCTCATGTTCCTGATGATATAATGTGTCTAATTTAATAATAATCATGAAAACTGACTATTTGTCTTTATTTTTCCCTGTCATATAATTAAGGCTGAGTACGTCATCATCATAAGTCTATTAATGTTCTCATTGCTGGGGCACAGGCCTTCCCTATGGATGGAATAGGGAGATTGGGCCATGACCCAACCACGCGGGCCTAGTGCGGATTGGCGGGTGCTAACGACTGCAGTTGCAGCCAGGACCAACGGCTTAACGTGCCTTCCGAAGCACGGAGGAACTCGAGCTAGAAGATTTTTGGTCACCCATCTAATGACCGACCACTGCGAAAGTTGCTTAACTTCAACGATCGCAGCCGAACGCGCTAACCACCTGCGCCATCAAGCTCCGCCGAGTACTCGCTGCTCGGCCGTTAATACTCGGTGCTCGGCCGGACCCTAAAAAAAGGCCGAATCGGCCGAGTACCGAATCCAAACCGAGTATTCGTCCCATGTCTTATTAATACTCATAACATCTACGAAATATTAGTCAATTAAAATTTGTTTTTGAAATTTAAAGTAACTAAACGATTACGAATTTTTATTTATATGATAATCACATATATTTTTTTCGGTATGTAATTGTTGAAAATTCTTTCAAGTATACCTACTATACATAATATAAATGATACTGATAAGTCCGTTACACAGAAAACTTATAGGTCGTTATTATTACTAGAAAATAAAATGTTGTATTTACATTCACCTTAATGTCTAATCTACAAATAGAAAGATTAAATACTCCATTTCCTCGTATATTACGATGATTACCACCAATAATTGACCACCAACACGACGTTGGTCGCTTAAATCATTCTCTCGTTCGTTTTCCACAACCCGTCTCTCTCTTTCACTTTCCATTACATTCTCCTGTACGTTTCCATCAACGGATTCCAATTTAATCTCATTGTCATTATCATTTATACGAGATTCAATTTCTTTTCCGTCTTCATTCTCATGAGCACCTTTGTCATATTCACTAGAATTTTCATTATCATTACTTCTAGATACATTGTCCTGTCCGATAACATTTTCATATTTTATATTATCGGAATTGTCTGGTCTTCTTATTGATCCGACCTCTTTCTCTTTGCTGATATGACATGTACCGTTTCCTTTGTGTTTGTTATGATTATTACACATTTTATTTGAGTGTCCGTATTTGGTTGCAATTTTTGCATATTTTAGATCTTTTTTAACATTATGTTCGACTAATATACCTTTATTTCTAGTTTGAGCTTTATCGACATCTGGTTTAAGACAGTCATTGCAATCTATTTCTGAATGTAATGATTTTTTGCCCAATATTGTTTTGCCTGGTTTACTACCAGTTGTTCCTTTAAAGGCTTTAATATTTGCCCTCCTTTTGTCGTAGAAATTAATTTGTGGCTTATAATTTTTAACACTGAGACCATCGGACCTTAACTTTGGTCCGTGTGAACTAACGGATCAGAGTCTCTTGTGTGAATCTGTGCTGGAGCTCTTCAGGGATCCAAATCTGCGAGACTGGGGATGCTGCGATGACGAAGTTCCACGGTCAAGACTCGCTGCCCGAAGAATCAAGCCTCTTGATTGACGTAAAGACGAGTCTGATCTTGCCTGCAAAATATTAACTTAGTTTAGAAGAAAAAAATGTGATTGTGCTTCTATCTACATACCAGGTAAAGGTATTCATTTTATGAGGGTTGATCAGTAAGCAGAAACAATAAAATATAAATGGGAACCCCAATTAGATTCAATAATAACAAAATTTTATAAACATCTCATATAATACATTGATAAGTAAGTAGTTTATAAAGATTTTGAAAAGCGTATTTTTAAGAAATTTCCTCAAAATACTGTTTTTCCGTGTGAACATATTATTATAATTAATACGAGCTTTGTAAAATTATAATGTTTAAAATATTTCTCTCATAAACAGCAGCCTAATAAAAGAGATATCTTTGACGAGGTATAGGTAGCGGCAAACTTTCGAGCAAAACTGTAGGTAGACTTTTTTGTATATAAAATTGCTACTGCGCCGGCTTCCTTATCTATGATCTTTGCGCAAAGAGTATTCCGGGGTGTATACTGTCGTCACTTTTCATTTTAGTCAAGGATTTCGACATTACCTGTTCCACGAGTGATCCTATTCGCTGTTGTCTAACTTCCCTGCCGCTGCTCGCTTCTGTGAACGACGTCTCCAGGGACCGCTGCGATGGGTCGCTTATAGACTGTGACAGCAAGTGGGTAGTTGATGAAGAGTTCGAATCCTCGTTGTTGGAGTATTCATCTGGACTATCTTCGCGTTGTGGGTCGGATTCCTATATGGCAATGGAATTTATTTTGTATAAATTCGTCTATTATTTACAATTTTATAGACATTTACCTACCTTGGAATCTTGACTTTATTAAAACTTATGTGGAGTGGAAAATTATGTTTGAAGCATATTTTTTCTTAAATACATTTGAAAAGTTGTCTGTTTGAATACTTTTTTTTGTAATAACTATGTCAATTGATCAAATAAACGATTACCTTGGACTTAAAATCACTGATCCATTAATTTGGATATGTGGATCCTTACCTCTTCCAAGTCTCTAAGTGTAGTGGGGTAGTGGAGTCTGCGTGCTTCCTCGCGTTCCCTCTTTTCTAGTTCATCAGCTAACATCATGACTTCCCAATCTCCTCCACTTCCTGTAATACATTGATGTTATATCCTTATTGTGTTAGCAGAGGAAAAAATATATCCGATATCAGAATAATTTTGATGACACAACCACATAGATGTTATCTGGCAGTCTAATTTGCCAAATAATAAGTTCTTGTAATTGAATACAAAAGTTTCTTAACTGTTGATAAACGATTTGCCCAAAAAAGCAGTCTGGTGCTTTTTATTTCGTCATACACTCAATTTGTCAGCATGGGATTAACTGCCTTAAATTATTGTTTAAATAAAGCTATTTTTTTATTGCTATCGCATGACAAAAGACTAGAATCTTTTCCTCATAATGCAGGGTACAGTACCATTTCCATGTGTTGTGTTGTATAAGGAATATTTTCACAGTAGGTCCATCTTACAGCAGCATCAGTGAGACATTGAAATTATGTAGTACATTCCAAACTAGCGCAACAAAAGTTTTGATTGCTCACCTCTTATTGGTGAAACACTGCTATGACTGGAACTACCAGCTCGCCCTCTACGGGAACTGCTTTCAACGAATTCCTCGAACATTGGTGTTCGAGGGAGTGACTCTGAATCGCTACTCGACGACGTCGATGTTCTGGTTTTTGGAAAGATTTTATAGGGAAATTATTAATCATGTGTAAGTGCCAGTTTTACTTTATCTATAAAAGCTTAATATATAATTTTTAAATACGTAGTTCCTCGTGGTCATACTGTGGTATAATCACACCAGATTTTCCTACGTTATTTTTGAAAATTTTAGTTTATTTGTTTATTTGTTTATTTTCTTGCTTTTTTATTTTAAGCATTATTCTGCTCTGTTTATAAATCTAAAGAAAAAAATTACTAGAAAAAAATCAACTCGGTCATGGTTTCAGACCGGACTCGAACCTTTTTTTTTAATGTCTTGAAAATGCTTTACACATTCTCCGCCCACCGGGAGAAGCGTAGCGGAGTTATCCGGGACTCCTCCCCACTCATTTCACCCAGTATGGAGACTCGATGAAATGAGTAGGGCCCTACCTAACGGTAAAAACCAGACAATACTCCTGCATCTGTCCGCTGGCACGTATCCCGAGGACCGCGGTTCCTGACATACGTGTCAGTAGGGCGGGCATTGCATGGTACGCCCCAACGGCATTGGCCACGCGCCCGCCGGTGTTTGACCATTCCTGGACCCTACGCGATGTAGACCGGACTCGAACCTGCGGATGCACTAACCGCTATACTACTGTTACCGTTAGTGTAACTGCCCAGATAGCGGAAGACGCAGGTTTGATTCCTGCCTGAAACCTTACCGAGTTGATTTTTTTCTAGCAAAATTTTTCATTACATTTGTTTTTTTTACACCTATCATACTTAAATGCCATAGATACAATGGACGAGATAAGCATCCTGCAGATCTGCAAATCGAATTTCAAAGAAGAGGAGGTTTGCAGTGGCAAGGCGTTACTCTTCCGGTCCGTCGGCAAGGCCGATCAGATGCCATCTCGCCGGAGGGATGGAACGGAGAAGAGTCTGCAGGACATCGTCACCCTGCTAAAAGAATTGGATCCAGATGATGTACCTACATTCGTGGCGAAGGAGCTACACAAGCTTCCACGACCACGTCGACGTCACCAGGGGGCCAATCGCCTAACGGAAATGCTTTGGGAAACGCTAACGCTTACGAATTTATTTTGTTATTTCTAGCCGCCTGAGGTTTTCAAATGCCTCGCACTCTTTCTTTTTCTTTTGCATTGGTAATAACAATATTAAAAAAAATGAGCGTGAGGTATTCGAAAACCTCAGGCGGCTAGAAATAACAATATAAAATCGTAAGCGTTAGCGTTTCCCAAAGCATTTCCGTTAGGCGATTGGCCCCCAGGTTGCTCAAAGACATCAACTTCCTAAGAGCAAATCTGGCCGATGTAGTGAACAAGTTGGAGGAATCAAACAACACCATCGGTGAGTTGCGAGCCCAACTGGAGTCATTAAGTAGCGCCGCTTGAACAAGTAGGTCACCCGAGGCCTCCAACGTGAACACACGTCGCGGGGCGCATAATGCGCCGCGCCCCCGTCACCCGCCCTTCCGCCACACCGGAGACGTCATGCGACTGCGCGTTAACACCAAAACGCGCTTACGCAGCTGCGGCCGCCAGCCGAACCGTCGCTATCACGCAACCTGAGCAGAAATCCACTCATCCAAAGAAGAAGGGTAGCCAAGACATTCCTTGTGCAACTCCGACGGAAACAGGTAACCGTAATTGTGATGAAGAGGGTTTCATTACGGTGGAGAGGAAGAAGAGGAAGCCCACTCGTCGCAATCTGTGCGGTGTCGCCCCGATCGGACCGAATAACCTGCTGCGTCCAGTGATACCTGTGACGCTCCTGTATGTGTCCCGCTTGCATTACACCACGAAGGCGGAGGGGATCGCAGAATATTTGCGTACGAAGACCAATTTCTCCCTGAGGGTCACGCGTTTGGAGTCTCGCCACGACGTGAATTTTAATTCATTTGTGGTGAGAGTGCCGACTGAACATCTGGCGACCTTATAATTTTTATTATTTTTAAAGCATGTAACTGCTTGATGTTTAAATCTAAAGAAAATATAACTTTTGAAAGAGGAGCTTTGGCCGAAAGGTGTGGTGTTCCGGCGTTTCAAAGGCAGGCTACCTGACACCACTCCGCGCCACACGTCGCCGACTAAACGTGTTATTTAAAATTTGTAATTATTTTATATTTCATATCTATGTTAGACTATAAGATATATATTTCTATGGGCCTACGATGCATGAACACAAATAAAAAAAAAAAAAAACTTGCCTTATGTGAACATGAAAATTTATCATTTCATAATATGTCCTACTACAAGGACTAAGGCTTATTCGTGGTCCATCTAGTCTAGTAGGAGAAATTAGTAGGACCACGAGGTAACGTATCAAAAACGTATAAATAAACATACACTAAAAGGTTTACACCCATTTATTTTTCGTGAAATAATCAATGTACATCTAATAATAATCTATAAAATACTTACGTGTCGCTCCAGCTGTAGTCACTGCCCATGTCTAGAACAACTTCGTTGCAGTTGGCGGTTGGCTTGTGGACCCCGCGGTTGTACCCAAAGAAAGACCCCAGACTAAACTTGCGATGTCTTTGCCTGCTTGGTTCTGGCGACGGAAAATCAAAGGATAACATTTGGAAACAACGTTATTATGATAAAATCTACAACACACGGAAATTGTTTTACCTATCTTATTCTTTTCATTTCTACCAGTGTGATGCATCCCAGTGTCCACAGAGAGGGTCTTTTTGATTTTCGACTTGGTGTTGTCCAGATGAGAGCCGAAGAAATGGAACCCATGTAATCCCCGTCTGGTGCTGCGGAGGCTTGAATGTTCAGGACTGAGGAGAGACCGATCTTCAGATGTCATTTGTGGGGACATTGGCCTGCGCAGAATCGTTCCTATTGGTTTTAAAGACTCTAACTATACAATAAGCAGCTATGTCTGAATATAACTTTGGGTAGATAGAGTTCCAATAAACGTTGACTACTTACTACTGTGACCGTGGTAGTAGCTCCACAACAAAATCATTTGGTTATAAATGTATAGAAACAGTAAGTGGTAGTATTCATTTTAATGCTATATATTAAAATGAATACTACCACTATTCTAGAGGCTGTGCCGTCCACAAAAGATATGACGTGAAGCTATTCATAATTATATTTTTAAGACTGCACTATTGCTAACTTAAATGAAGAAGAATGTTGGGGATAAGGATGTTTCAATATTATGTAAATAGTTTAAGTTTACCTATTTAAATCTTGCATTTCCATGCTCTCCTGATCACTTTGATCTTCCCAAGATTTTCTTTGTTTCAATTTCGCTGCTCTCTTCCTCGAATAAGTGCCAGCTTTACCATCTAGATTTAAATCCAATCTCTTCGATTTACTCACAGTCCAGTCGTCCTTGCTGCATGAAGTTTTGTCAGATCTATTGGATAATGATTCCGCTAAGCTTTGCAACTCTGAATATGAAAGTCTTCCTAGTTCTATGCCTCCTGTTAGTTCTGAGAGTTTATCATCTGTCAATTCCTCAGGAGATATTATATCAGGTTCTGGCTTATCATCTACTTTATCTTTTTCTTCTTCATCCGCACTAGCTGTTGGTGGCGATTTTGCGAAAACAGTGTCAAGGGAATCTCCTCTCTGAAAGTATGAATATTTCATATAATATTTATAATTAATAATACAAAATTGTTTTCAGCATGCTTTTATGTGTGTTTGCCCGTCTGACAGTAAATTGCAATTTAGGTATTTGCGATATTGTAGAAAGCTCTGTGAACGCGTTTCCTAACCAGAGGGACTGGTAACCATGTCATACTATCTACTTCAATTCAATAGTAATGCCCACAAAAAATACTGTAATTGTATGAAAGTTGAAACAGATTAAAGTCACTAACCATAAAACCTTCTTCAGTACCAGAAGCATCTTCGCTACCTGAACTACCATTTTTCGAAAGAGTCCGAGTATCTACAGGTTGGATATCGTCTATAATTGGTTCTTCCGAATCATTTGGTTGCGTAGGAGTAGTGACGCCAGTCAAACCTAGCCTTTCTAGTTCCTGAATACGTTTTTGAAGTTGGCTAATGATTTCATCGCGTTTCCGGACTTCGTTTTCTAAACTATTAAATCTGGGAACAATATCGGAATAATTTGTTGATTAATTTACAAAAGTAAACACATTAGAATAAAAAAAAACATAATAAAGTAAGCATGAAGGTAAGTACTTCATAACATACAATATATATATTTTAAAAATAAAAGGTTTATATGAATACCTTTCTTGAAATTTTCCTTGAACATCATGCAAATGTCCCTGTATAACTTGTTTTATTCCTAATAAAACTTCACCAAAGTATTCTTGTTCTTCGAGAGAACCTGTAAATTAGTATTCATTTATTATTCATATGCGTTAAATGATACAATAGGCTGGTTATTTAATAGTCTTACCCCGTAATAGCTTTCTTTGATTTGCAACGGCTGATATAATTGTTAATTTAGGTTTCTCAGAAGGCACTTTAATATCTTCAGGCCTCAAAGATTTCAAATCGTACATGGGGTCTATACTGGGCTCCAAATCATAATTTGCTCGAATATTTATACCATAATTTTGAGTACTTATTTCATCTTCAGTTTTTATTGTTTCATTGGGAGCAAATACTGAATCTTGATCAGAGTCTAGCGCGGGTACAGCATCGATTTGTGGTGTAGTATGTACTTCTGGCATTTTAAACATATCACACTTAGCATCTGCGGGCGCGCTACTGGGGGGTGAGGGTAAAGTGTGGCGATGAAAAGTGACGCTTTTTGCAAATTTAGAATGTCTTGCAGCATAACCTTCTAATGTAGGTGCTCTTATTAGTCTTCGAAGCTCGTTACTCCGCTCAGGACTTTCAGATGGTGTAACGTCTTCTGATAGTTTTTTCAATATTGACTTCAGCGTCCTTCTTTCGAGTGTTTCATTTGATCCGAGACTACTACCAGAGTCTGTCGATTTCCGTTTGTATTTGCGTTTATCCATAGTACTTCCTTCAGAATGACTCCTTATCAATGTATCACACAAAAGATCTTCAGAGGAACTAGTGCAATCTAAACTAGAACTTCTATATTTAACGACCTTCTCTAGTTCAGCTAATTTTTGTCTCTCATTAAGTATTTTTAGTTTTTTTACAAATGGCAGACCTCCGTATTCAGGTGATAAATCATCTATAGATCTATACTTCTTAACTTTAGGTAGTAACATTCCACCGACGACCGACTTTGATTCAATTGGTCTTGTAAGATTTCTTTTTGGTGATAATGTTAATAAATCTAAAGATCGTTCTTGGACGGGTTCCAAAGGGCCTGTTAATGAAATCTTAGGCTTATCATGTTTAACATTATCACTATCAACTTCAAGATTATTATTGTCTATTTTAACAAGCTCCCCGGTAGTAACTATAGGCACACTAATATTTACATTTGCTTCAGTTTTACTTTCACATTCCTTCGGTAAACTATCAGTTTCTTTTTTCTCCTCTAAGCTAGATTTACTTTGACTTTTAGATTCTCCTAAAATTGATGCTTTTTTTAGTTTTGTCCAAGGCTTTTTACATTTTGTGTCATCTTTGTTATCGGTTGATTGTAAAGGTGTCACTTCTACGGAAACTTTTTCAAGTGAAGGGGGTTTATTACGTTCTGCTGAAGAATTTTCTGCTTCTTTGTGTGTGTTCCCACTTTGAAGCAATTTTAGTTTATCTCTAAACGTAGAACCAACTACCTTGGCAGGAGATTTTATTTTACTGACGACTGAATGTGGTATAGAAATCAAGCTGCTTTCTGTTTTAGGTGTTGGTTCCACTACTGCTGCCGGTTTTTCGCTTATATCTTTATTTAGTGGTTGACATACGGCAGTCCCGTCACTTTGAACTTGCAATATTCTATCCTTAAAACTAACTTTTGGACGTAACGTTCCGTCACTGGAACCTGATGAGTTCTTCCTTGACGTTTTCGTAGTAGGACTCTGAAGTTTTCCTGGACTGCTTGATTCTGAACCTTTTCTAATCGGACTTAATGTTTTGATAGTAGGACTTAAAGGGCTCTTTATTGAGCTTGGGCTAATTGTATCGGAACTAGAGGGTTGGTTACTGGTTGCTGGGGTGAGTTGATTTTTTTCTCTTTCTTCTTTAGCTTTTAAGAGTAGAAGCCTTTGTAAGAGTGGTAGTCCTGCTCCTATAACTTCTGGTTCAGCATCAGGAGCTGAACTTGTTGACGGTGTTGGTTGTGATGGAGGTGGAGATACTACCGAAGACGTTGAGTGTCTTTGTTTGGCTACTTTTTCTTCACGATCCTAAGCAGAAACAAGTAAAATAAATTATCTTTATAAAGTCATATCTTTATACATATCTCTTAGCATCGCATTAGCATACACACCAATCATTTAATAAAATACGATGCACCCGTTCAAAAAGTGTTTTATAAAATTAGGTATGTCTCAATTAATAACATACCTGTTTTTCTTTTAGTAGTTTTAATCTCGATAGTAAAGGTAAACCAGCTCCAATCGGTGATATGCATTTTTCTACATCTTTGTTACCAAATGTTGTCTCGCCATTGTTATCCTGTAAATCGGATAAGAGACATATATTTTAAGGGAAAAGATAGTTAGATACTTATTAGCCATTGGTTATCATTAAAAGGAACCTCGTTATTATGTGTTTGGGAGTCATCGCTTTCGACCCGCGGCATTCTTCGGAGGACTTTACCATCAGCCGCTGCTCTTTCAGCGCCAGCTAATGCTTGCAATTCCAAAGATTCACCTGAACGACGAGTTGCCCGAGATCGACTTCTTATTGCATTGCGTATCCCCTAAAACGAACAAAGATATTTGCATGATTGATACGTTTCCAAGCTTCTGGATCCTTCAATCTGTAAGCAATTGTTGTTTCTCTTAATTATAAAGCATTTCATACAGTAACAGCAAAAATATTTTGAATCAATTATATTGTTTAGCAATTACCAGCTTGCGATTATGGGATATTTTTTTATCGGTTCAATAATATCTTACCTTAACATCGCTTCTTAATTTATGTACAATCCTCTTTGGTCCACTGTCGTCACCGGGTATTTTATCTGGACTTATTTCTGCAACATTTCGAGAAGCTACATTGAAAATATAGTTATGTCAAACAATAGTTTTCTATGAGAGTAACAAGTACCTTTGGCGTGCTTCCTCGACATATTCTTGGCTTCTTGAAGACGTTTTCTACCAAGCGTCTGTAATATGTCCTGAGCTTCAGGATAGTCTTTCATGGCCGCTAACACATCTTCTCTAGATAAAGAAAATAGTTCCGAGTATCCTACTGATCTCACATCCGCTGTTCTCCTGTTGATTGAAACAATTTCATTTAGTGCTATCATGTTTAATGTTTTAGAACGTTAACCATTTGTTAATAATAATTATATTATATCTTAAATAAAAGTAGATACCTATATAGCTACTTACTTATTCAATCCATCCAGGTTTAATATTCCTATTTCACCAAAAAAATCGCCAGCCTTCATTGTTGTCAAAACACGACCTGTTTCTGATATGACTTCAAGTATACCATCGGCTATTATAAACATTTCTCGGGCAACTTCCCCTGTTGAAATGTTAAAAATAATTATAGTGGCGAAAAGAATTAATAGCACATTTAAATCCTACCAAAACTATAAATGTGAAAGTTTGAATGTTTGTTACTTGATCCCGCAAAAACAGCTGAACGAATTTGGGTGGAATTTGGCACACATACAATTCACTAGTGGGAGCATGTGATTTCATCTGCGTGATTCAACTTCTAACCCCCTTATCACCCCATTAAAATATGATTTCTGGAATAAAAGCTATGTCCTTTCTCGGGACTCAAACAATTTCTTTATTAAATTTCATCTAAATTGGTTCCACGGTTTAAGCGTGCAGAGGTAATGGACATGCAGACAGACAGGCACACTTTCGCATACTGAATATAAATATGGATTCATATTAGCCGCTTCAGCTATTGTTGCGTAGTTAACCTTAACCTTTCGCCCAATGTTAAAAAAATATAATTGTGTATTAAAATATTATTTTATAAAATTGATCAGAATAATTCTGTCAAAAAGGGTAATATTTTGGTATATACTTATATACTTGATTTAAAAGTACACGGGAATAAAGAAAGATTTAAATTATATAGACATAGAGCTACCGGTTTTGAATACGGAAATATTTTTCTTCTTTGGCAACCGGTTTCGAAACATAGTTTAGATAATAACAAAATATCTTTGATAAGACAGTCTAAAATCCTTCTTGAATATTCTGCTACGAATGTAACTGTTAGTTTTCAGCAAAATTCTATTAAATGACAGGTAAATTAAACTTAGCAATCTGAGAGTTTATCAGGATTAATTTATCTGTAATGCGAAATCTCTAAACGAAATTTGATATCTTTGATAAACTTGAGAAGATTCCTAATAACATTAAAATTAGGAAATGTTTGAATTAGGCTGACAGTAATTCGATAGGAGGAAGTAAAGCGCCTAATGTAAAGTTTATAAATAAGTAATGAAATACTGAACAACAATAACGTACCTTTTCGACATATTGAGTCACCAGGTGTAAATATGTATGCCTTCATTTTTAAAACTAGATCATGTAAGAACTCGGGTTGGCACTCTTGGAAAATTGTGACCTGTAATTTTGTTGTTCAATCTTAAAGTAACAAATAAAAAAAAAACGAAAGTTTGCACTCCGGGAGTGCCGGCAGAAGTGAAAACTTGAATATTAACGTTGTGCATTTTTGATATTTTGGAATGGTTAGGGTATAATTTGGCACGAATTGCTTTAATTATCAGTATAAAAGTACTATCATTTATGTGGTAGAATACAATATTTATTTATTGCGCTATCGTACACAAACATGACAATTTATATTACATTAAAAAATTATCTCTCAGAAAAATCAACTTACATGAACCACATTTAAGCGCACCTAGCGGCATCTATTGTAAAAAATGCATTTTCTTCGCAATAAAGCTGCCACCTAGACGTCCTAATTAGAGACTTATTATTATAATACGATAAAATAAAATATTACTATGTTTCGTCCAATATATTGAAAGTCAACAACCTTTCCAATTTTATTGTTTTCGTCTTACGAATTTTCGATTAGGTCACGTGTCCGGACGCGATCAGGCCACGTGTGATGACGCGATTAGGCCACGTGTCCTGACGCGAGTTTAACAGTTTTTACCCATTACAAAGAAAGTGTACAACGCCGTTAAATAAGTTTTCATTTCAAAAAAGGGATGGTATCAAATAAGGATTGCAAAAAAAATGATGCTGGAAAAAATTACTCGTCCCAGGATTCGAATCAGAATTCTTCGCAATCCGAGCGACCGACCAAATATGTAACCGGGACCATAAAGGATGTGCCGATTTATATCAAATATTTCTTAGGCTGCAACGCAATGGCATTTCTTTACCATAAAGGAACATACAAAAGCAATTCAAACTTTATGACGGTAGTGAACTTCTGAAATTAGAAGTGAGCACAACTACGCCCAGATACAGTCAGAAGGACCAGTCGCGATCTTAAATTAAAACAAAAAGGGAAGAGGTTCAAAGGCGATCCGCTTAAATTGTGGTGTATGACCACAATTCGCTTTAGTCGCAATCGGACATTCTAACACGCTGCATGTGCACTCAATGTAATAATATTGCATATATTCTGTGTTATAAACATAAAAAAATGTCTTCGATGCATTTATTTGGAACACAAATAATTCAAAATAAAAAAAAATGCCTTAGCAATACTTTTCATTCGTAAAAATGTAAAAACATTTTTTTCTCAAAAATCACGGTTTGTCGTGAATGTTATTTACGTAATCGCCATTTTGTTATCAAGAAAAAGACAACAATACAGCTCAGCCATGCGGTCTCTGATGCAGACTTGCCCTTTCGCTGACGCTACGTTGAAGCATACAGTTCTGTCTCGCTCGCTCGATTGAATGTTTATTTACAGTAGACGTGTGCGTATGTGAGAGTGGCTTATGTAGTTGAGTCGGAGCATATTTTATGATGCTAGTATGGACGTACTGTATTTTCTCTTTTTTGTTTTAATCTAACGCAACGTGACTTGCACTCACTTCACAGCCGTCATTTAATTAGCATCGTATCTTCATATCATTGTCAAACGTATTTTTATTATTACTGCTGATAGTAAATCTGCCTGTTACTGCGATTAGAAGATTTCTAAACATCTTGATATATTTGTAACTAGCACAAGAAATGTTTAGCTATAAAATTAAGTAAGACCAGTCTAAAGTCTAAGTCTTTATCTAAAATCAAAAATATTTTAACAGATTATAACTTTTTGTAATGGAAATCAGTTCTTGTAGATATTTCAAACTGTTCATCAAAAGCTGTTATAGAATTTTGTTTTTTGCTGTCTTTGATTTTAGATGTCTAACAAACTTAATTCCCTTTTAAGAAGGGGTTTTTAACCAATATCACTACCAACCTTTTTCAGCACACTAAGGTTCACATGTAAAGCTAGTTCTGTCTTAAGCTTGTCGGGGAGGAGCCCCAAGGCGGTATTTATGTCCCCTCCTCCTTGGATTCGTCCGCGAGACCATGAGTAGTCATACCAGCGCAGTACTCGGCGCTTCATACCACCAGGCACCTGGGGGAGAAAAATTAAATAACATGATAATCTACTTCCGGTTATTCGCAAGTAGGGATGAAACGATACGAGTAAATACAATTAACTATTCGATACTTTTCTTTCGATACCAAGTACTTTTGGCATCGATACTTTAGAACTGAGTAACATGTAGTGTTGTGAAGTAAGTACTCGGTCGGTCAGTCACTGAGATGTATCAAAAAAACTCGTAGGCAGATTATTATACTCTACGTTAAGGTGTCTAGTTGGAATTTTTGATTCGCGAACGCTTCTTGTCTACTGCTCAGTTGGCAGCCTTGCGTATGATTTATATTTATTCCAATTTATTCAGTCAGTCTTTCGTTCATCGCGTGGCGTGAGCCGTTATTTTGGTTTAGTTAAATTAAAGCTGTGACTGAATATGTAATTGTAATATCGTTCATCAAAATTTATCTATACAAGTAAGTATCGATACTTTTCATTCGATACCGAGTAGGCATCAATACTTTATGACCGATATAGTCGATCGAGTAAAAGTATCGATACGTAGATGGTATCGTTTCATCCCTATTCGCAAGAAAGTTGCATCTCTACAGCAGCGAGGGCGAGGTACAATTAAGGTTGTTGTTGCAATGGCATCCTGCAGGTGGTCCCTCCCAGCGACCTGTCGGTCATTGTCCGATACAGCACCGTTAGATGAGGATATTGCTGAGTGAAAATCTTTGAAACCTCAATTTTATTTACATTTGAATGGTGATTATTATTTATTATTGATTATTTTGATGTTTTACGAGATGAATTTTACTATTATTATTATTGTATTGTTTATGGATTGAATATTGAATTTTGTATGGATTTAATATCTGATTAATAAACATTATTGTTATTAATATTTAGTCAATGTTTCGGTAAGAACCCTACATATTAAATTGAATTATTAGAAGCTATTTTTTATTACCGAAGTAGTTACCGCGTTTGGCCTGCGATCTTGGAAGTTATTAAGCAACTTTCGCAGTGAACAGTGATAGGATGGGTGATCGAATATTTACTCACCCCTGCTATTACTTTTAAAGATTAAATATATCGTGTGAGGTATCGTCTAAACGAGCCTAAAAAGTAAAAGAATAATACATATATTGTCTTCTTTGGCGTCACATCAGGGTTGGTGGCGCGTCTCACAATACGCTGCAATTCCTCCCGCACTGCGGCCTTTCTCGTGCACTCATGAAGTGGACCGTTCAGTGCCGCTTTTTATATAGTTTACTTATACTTTATACATATACTTTACTTATATATAATATACCTTAAAGTATAAAGTCTAATTAAAGTTTGCATTTGATTAGTATCATGCCAACCCAAGCAGCAAATACTAACTTAGATCTATCAACATGCATGGCACCAACTCTGAATGTTAATTTGACTATAAACTTGTTATAAGTAAATAAAATGTACTATTTTTTAAACTTTTTAGTAGTTTGGTTTTTATGTAGCCAGTTTTTTTATTTGTCAAAAAAGTTTACCATTTAAACAACAGTCTCTTATTTACTGGGTTTTTAAGTTTAACTCAAACTAAAATCTCAAATCTTACCTTATGATGCCTCATGTAGGTTTTCGCGCCGTCCAGAAGTCGCTCAAACTCCAAACGGTTGGCATTTCTATTGGTGATGACGTTGCCGACCTGCCCTACTATAGTGGCGAAAATGAACACGCCAATCAAATAGCTCACGATCGTGAACACGTACCTGTTGAGAAAGTATGATTAACAGGAGTTGTACCGTATTGACAATATCATGGTATCATGGCTATTCAGTAACAAACTCACTTTTCACCTCGGAATACGCGGTGTGATTTAAAATTAGAATACGAATTTCAAATTATCACGCCGGTGAATCCCGCCGTGAAAGTGGGTTTGTTCTATGGTACACCATTGCCGTAACCTCGTCACTCGGCGAGATTTGACAAGAAGCGTGGTGAGACAACACGAGATTACGCAGGGTAGTATCCGTCTACTCTCTCGTCTGTTTTAAGTACCCCAAGCACGAACACAAACAATACCAGTGTGAAAGTATTCGTATCGCCATCGTCAGTTTCTATTTAAGGAGTTAGATTGTTCTTGCGTCTGTTGCTTAGTTTCCAAAGAAACTGACATGGCAATATGAATATTGTTTGTGCTTGGGATACAGTTATTTTTTTTAGACGCGCCTCGTCCTGACGCATCTCGCCCTTTGTGTCTTCTGATTTATACGCGTTCTAATGTTCATTGATCCATGTTCTGAAGGGATTGTTCTTACTTAGGCTTATGATCGCGAAATGAAGTACGAAACACGTGTGAATCGCGTCATCTGAACAGGCACTTTGCCTCGACAGAGACGAGAGCAGACGAGACGAGGCAAGGCGTGGCAATGTGGGGAGGCTCCGACTACATTCTGGTGCTCGCACATAAAGTCGATGAGAGTGAAGAGCTAGCAGCAATGGTTTAAGCTAGACATTGCTGCAATACGGGATATAGAGGGACATCCCGCTTCAACCATGATCAAGTGGGGGATAGTGTAACAAGGAGCATAAGGAATATCTTTGTTAATACAAAGCCCGGTCATTTGTAGACTGATGACAGCTGCTTAAGATGCCGACTCAGGAAACTTATAAAACACGTCAACACAGACCAAATAAAAAATAGAAAAGGGCAAAGATATTTCTTACGACGGCAAAGATATCGCCTTGTTACACTGTCACTTGTTTGACCCTATTGTCTTTGGTTCGCGTTAGAAGACATCCCATAGACTAAAAACTTTGAGTAAATAGTTCAGTTAGAGACTCTCCAAATAGTCATGAATGTAATCGTGATTTGTTTTATACTCATACCGATTAGCTCAAATTCCCCGTAATATTAAAGTGACGGACGAAGTGTTTTCATCTCACCACTCAAACGGCATTTGAAATTCGTACAAGTCTAAACTTATTAACTCGGAAAGGTATCATCAGCGTATCTTGTGTTAAGTATTCTTTGCATGAAACTCCCTGCTGCATCGTACACTCGGAATCATAACGTGACTTGAAGGCTCGAGTTCATACGGGACGATCCCCTTCCGAGTTCATATTGTCTGCTACGTCCTTTTATCAATAAATGCAATTGATTTACAGTTGATACTAAATATTAGTGCACAACAAATAGCAATCAAGATAAAGCTCATATTCAAAATTCTAAATGAAGGAGCTAATCAAACTATCGGGATATTGGTCTATTAAAAGTTTGGCCTGTGGTTTCTTACAGTCATACTCAGAGAAGTCAGTAAAATTTTAGTTTGATTGAAGTTGTCACTTCTTTATTGCTTCTTCTACACCTGCGCGACGAAGCTCTGGGTGGCCCTTTGGTACTAAATGCGCTAAAATTAGCGTTCGAAATTCGAATTAGTCCTGTCGTAATCGTAATGAATTATGTGGCTGCGTGACAACAGACGCTAGACGATAGCTTGACTGGCGATAATTTGACACGCAAAAAAGAGATCGTGGGAGACGATTAAATTGTATGCGCACCAGAAGGAGCGTAATTAATTCAAAGTTGGAAAGCTAATTTTTGCGTATTTTAGTACCAAAGCTTCGTCATGAAGGTGTGGGTTGAGCATACTCGTATATAGCAATATATTAAGACAGTATGCCACTTCGACAAGTATTATATTTCATTTCAATGTCTTTAGGCGACCGGTACAGTTCATGATGTGCTTAGATAACAATAAATTATACAAACAATGAAGTGCTCCCAACTTATTTTTCAATCTGTATTAAATGTGAAATATAATGTATTGAATCTTAACGTGTTTCGAGTAATATATGCCCGACACGTTTTTCGGAGGAGCTACACATAAATGCTTTCAGATGATAGTTAATAATGTTTTCATTTCAGAAAAAAAAATAAAGAGCTTGTTATTTGAATTGCTTTGAATAGTTTTAAGACTTTAATTGTTTAATGGAGTGATGTCTTGTGTGAAGTGTTGAAAAAATAAAATATTAAATCGAAGCAAATAAATAAGTAACAATAAAGATTATAACAGAATTAAAAGCTATTCTATGAACAATAAGTATAAACTTAATGTACTTACACAAGTAATTGTGACTTAAAATTAGAAAAAAAGGTAACAAAAACAAAATGTGCAAAGTTTTCGAACAGTTGCGATAAGACAAAACACCCCAGAAACACTGATTAAGTAAATGAACGGTGAGCGGCATCACAAAATGGCGGTTAATTCAATGAAGGCTGTTCGAAAACTTTCAGTAAACTTCAGACGCCGTTATCGATGAGTAACAAATAAAAGTGAACAAATTAAAAAAACAGTTTCATGGTCAAAGAACTTGGCATAAATTGTTGTTACCCGAAGTTTGTCGCTGCAATGCGAACAGCCTCCAAATTTCTGCCGCCAATTTTATTACAATGGCTGTTTTCCTTCAACTAATATTTGATTAAGCAACCTCTTTTCAGGTTAGAGAATAAAAAAAAAACAGTTCGTAATATAAAAAAGGTTTTGCATTTTAAACAAACCTCTGTATTTTATGTAGATACCTACTTGATTTAAAAGTAAAATACTGGTAGAAAGAAAACAGTTTCGTTTTAGTTAAATTAGTTAAGATAACCTTTGCGATTGGTCAGATCAACGTGTTTTCAAAGTTCGTAGAATATAAATGATTAGATGAGGCGGTCTTTAAAATCTATTGATAACTGTCTGGGTCAATGTTCATTGGGCTACTTTGTTATGAAAAGTAAACAAACCTGATTAAGTATGTAGTTATTAAGATCCTTACAATACCAAGTGAATTTCGATATGAAAGTATGATCGATAGCAATCGTGTTATAATCCTTAAAGGTCATCGGTCAAAATCGTTTAAATTAAAATAGCCTGTCGATAAACTTTACAAAAGTATTCGGTCCGTTTGTGATTGTTTGCGAATTTTAGTTAAAATGATTTTACTGAAGAAACGCTTCGTAGTAATTTTGCCTACAGAGAATTTCAATATGGGCAACCACAAATTCTTCTATCGCATTTCCAAATTGGTCGTCACGCCGGTGAATCGCCTGTCGAGTAATAAACAGGAGTGTTTTGTTACTAAATTGTTAGAATTACTTTGTTTATCCGAACTCTGGGGACCTGATTTCAAATTCAAATTCGTCGCAAAACTTTGGACTGGGCTGAGGCGAAAAGACCTAAATAAAAAAGAAACGTTCGTTTGTGGTGACCGAAATTAAGTATTGTAAAACGGCATTAGCAGTGTTTGGTATTAGGCATTATGCGTAAATTACATACTTATATTATAATGATAGTATTTTTATTCGAAGTGGAATTGTGTTTAGACAAATTATGTAAGTACTTACGGTGGAAAAGCTGGAAAGTCCGATTTTGAATTGCTCCGCTCAGTGACGCTTAAAGCTTAGAAACATATTATGGGATAAATTTGATCGTTCCTCTTACTATAAGTTGTTTATTTCGTAGTGGCACGATGAATGTTGTTTGTGTTCATGATATATAATAGTATCAGAGGAACAATTTCAAGAAAATTCAATGGTACAAAAGGATGGCGAAGGGCTTTAGAATCGTCCAAAAATTAACCTAAATTGTTAAACTCGTATGTAGGTAAAGCTGATGTTCACAATTAATTTGCAAGCATTATGCAAGTATAAACGTGCCTGTTCATAATGGGAAAAATGAAATGATTCAACATGTTTTAGATTTGAGTGGTAAGTATCTATATTTATATATCGAAGTTATCTTAAAAACATAATTACGATAAGACGAAGTTCATTAAAAATGTGGCTATCTGTTGAAGCTAAGTCCCATAAAATTTGATTTTGTTAATGAAGAGCAGTATTTAGCTCTAGTCAAACTAAATCTCCGGTTTCACACAGGTAAAACACGTTTACAACCTATCCATCAAGTTAATAAAACTGGTATGAAGGATGATGTGATACGAATCTGACACCAATTTGCAGTGAAAAAATATTGACTCGGCACAAAATTTAGTAGCCCTATACATTGCTAAGTAATTTGATACACGGGATCTGGGTTATATGATCGGTTATATAAAAGATTCACGATCTTCATACTCGATGGGAAAATAAAGGATTGCGTAACAGCAGCTAAGGTCTATTCAAAGGTTTAGAGGCTTACCAAACAAAAGACAAACGATATTATTAAATAAATAAAATGACAAACAATATCGCAAAGTAATAAGCTACTAGGAATTGTTTTGTGAAATTCGAAATGATGGTACTAAAGAATTCGAATATGGTACTTAGTACCGCTTTATGTTTTGATGACAAACGTCGTACTTCTCAGAGAATCGGTTCTCGAGAATTCGGAATATCCATAATATTTTAAAATCTTGATTTCTAATAATTTCAATAAGATATAGCATTCATGTTGTTGTTGTTCTGCAATAAATTATTGAAGAAAACTATTAACTCCCTTTAAACAGAGTGCGCATTAAAGGAAGCAATTTTTTAGAAGAATTCATTTCGCCAGCCACTTTCTCGGTAAATAGTTTTCAATAGGAAATCATCACAAAAAGTCCTGCTATTAAAGTTAATTATATTAAATTTAATATTATTTTACTAGCGCGAACTATTTGACTTGCGTGGTTAACTTCAGTCTTGCGTAATTTACTAGACTTTTGATAAATTGAAGTTTTATGTATCGATTTCGATTTGCATTAGTAAATTAGAATATTCCCTCTAGATTCTGTTATTCTGTGTATTT